GTTAGCCCAACTGACGTGGACGACTTATGCTTGCCTTAAACAGAAATGTAAATGCAAAGGCCATTTCGATGGAAATGAATCCTCTTCGGTTAACCACAAGACTTAGTTAACGGAAATTGAAAAATGGGCTTAGTTTCGGTGTCTCAGAATGCGAACTCTGGACCACCGCAAAGCTCTGGCAAAGTGAAGAAAAGGTCAAGCTGCGGCCAAGCATAACGAAGGCATTTGCTTTGTTCGGAGTGTGTTCACAAAAACTTTGGCAAACAATTGCTTTCGTTTTTTCCTTCTTTGTCTTGCCACAATTTTTCACAATTTGTCATTTTTGAATGCTGTGAAATAGGCACAAATAGATGGGCAGCTAAGCATGGGAGAAAATAAATTTCAGCACTTTAATTTGTGTTTTTTCTATGCCATGTTTGATGGCTTCTTATCCACTTTAGCATTTCATATGTTAAGTAACCTTACTTATATTTTTTTTAAAATTTATTTTCAATAAAAATACTCAAAAAAAATTTCTAAGCTTCTCAGATTCTCCCAATTCACTCACCCAAAAAAACTCCAGCTCAAGGAGTTAGCATAAGATGAGAGTTTAAATTGTAGAATAAATTTGTGGTTTTTGCTTTGGCAATGTCAAGGAAGTGTCAATGAGGACATTACATCCTGTGCAGCTGCTTAAAATGGAGTCGTTTACATTTGCTCGGCTGCGTGTGCGTGGGTGAAAGCGTGAGCGTGTTGGTTTTGTTGCCTGTGGGCACGTGTGGCAAGAAGTAATTAAAATGCAGATTTATGACAAAGACTTAACAAAGTTATTATGGCAGCTGCCCGAGAGTGACAGAGACGCAGAGTGAGACGAAGATGATGATTATTAAGTACAACACGCTTGGCAAGGACACAGGCTACACAGCCACTTAGCCTGTCATTATGAGGCACACTTACTGTGGCAGGGCAGGGCATAACGATTCTGTCACGCTTAATGCCATAAGTATGAAAATTTATATGAACAATACAGTCGGACATTGAGACAATACGCTTAAATGGCAGCTGCGGCTTATGACAAATTATATTTCGTAAATATTTCTGATTGCCAAAAGAGCTATCATTATTGCTAATAGAGCATTTATAATTCGTTGCGCTGGTCTGCAAATTATTATCTACTTCATTATGTTCGCATATTATGCACGTGTCTGCGTCTGTACTTGCTACATATATGACACAATTACTTAGCACACGTCACAGATTTTCACTTTTGTTAATGGCACCCACGGCAGCCCTTCCGCCCACACGCAGACACAGAGACAGGCGCATAGCGGGGAACTTCGTGTGTGCGCCATTCATGCATTTGCATTGTTTTATTTTTAATATAAATTTGCACTGTTGTTGTTGTTGCTGTTGCTTTATTTGCTGTGTGGAATGTGGGTCAAGAGCATTGACTGCCACACCGAAGTGGCAACACATGACCAAGAGCCGTTGGTCTTGTTGCAGCTATGTTTGCAACCAGTAAGCACTCTCAATAATACCAATAATCATCATAGCCAAGGACAGCGCCATCTGAACAAAAAAATGGAGTGAAAATCTCACACACGTCATATGATTGATTACTTTTGTGCATTGGGCAGTCATTGATGAAATCTCAAAAAACAAACAAAAAAAGAGAGAGAAAAGAGATATGTTTGGCCAGGTCAGAAAGGTCCTGAAGTTTATTTGATCCGCCATCAACAAGCCAGCCCAGATGCCAAGAAGCAAAGCAAAGATTAAGATAGAGTCAAATAGCAAATGTATTTCATGGAACGAATCTCATTGACAGATGATGAATAGCTGAGAATGGGAGAAAGAAAGAAAGAAAAATATAGCTTACCTGTACGTCCCAATCAGCTAATTGAGTTAGTCAAGCTAAATCTATAATATGCATACTCCAGAGACTCAGAGTTCTATTTATTTTCAGACTGGTTACAGTAAAGGCCATCAAATATTTATTGAAGTGGGCTTTCAGCTTCCGCTCTTTGCCAGTTTTAATTGGCATTCGTCTGTAAGTTCCACTGAGCATGACAAGAGCAGGAGTCTTAAGCTTTGCGGATAGTCAGTCAATCAGCCGCAGACAGCGATTGGCCAGCGAGCGTTGCTCATGCAAATCTCTGGCCAAACATCAAATTTGCAGTTTCGTCGCTTTCTCTCTCTTCCTTTATCTCCCTCTATCTGTCTCACTCTGGCCACAGGTAGGCAAGCCCCAGCACAAACTCAATTTATATGCAGCAACAGCAGAGGCGACAGCCAGGCGGCACATGTGCATGCTCAGATTTAAGACAGTGTTCAACACTGGCTATAGCCGTGTCCTGTGACAGGACACGCTCAGTACGTGAGCAAACACCAAAAATGTGTGACAGCCGCGCAGATACATCTCTAGTCAAATCCTTAACCGAAGCGTAACAGGCACGAAAAGGGCTAATTTCAGTAGTCGAAAACTGTTTCGACTTCGTTTCGCCAAAGTTGAAAAAACACAGTTAAAATCAAAAAAAAGAGACTTTTCTTTGAAATAATTTGAAGATAACACCTCTGAGCATACGTGGGTTTAAGTTATGCACAGCGGCAGAAGCTGCATAAAAGTCATGCATATTCAGAAGCTCAAGCTCACACACGCATAAGTCGCCAGACCTCACCGGCAGCTGGCCTATAAATGTCACAGTTGCGGCCCTTCAGCTTTGCAGGCTATTTGCACGTCTTGTGCTTGCTTTAAATATTTGATAAATAAACAGAAATGCAGCGCAACCTGACGCAGCACGTGACTCTGGCCCCAGGCACGTGGCTGGCACTGCGTATGCGTAATTTTACAGCATTTACTGGCCGTGCCATGACTCGGCCACAATTAGTTGGCAACAGCAGCAGCTCCTCAACGCATTAGCACAGCAAGAAATGGAAGTCCAGCAGCCAATTTAGTTTTTGCGCCTAATTGCGTTTAACGTTGTCATCTGCAAGTCCTTGAGTGCCAGCCAAAGCAGCCAGCCAGCACGAGCTCCTTTTGAAATACTTGATCTTTTTTGCTTGTAGCGTTAAACGAAATCCCACCGAGCAGCAGCAGCAACAGCAGCAGCAGCTCAAATGTAATCACAAAATTTGAAATGAGAATTTTTTAACATTTGCATAAACTCAAGAAGCTACAAAAAAGAAGAAAAAAAAAATAGTTTAAATAAGAAAGAGATTGCAGCCCGGACCTTGGCAAACGTTACTTGCAGCTAAGAAATGATTATAGTCATGAGGAGGACAAGATGAATTTTGCATGAATGCTAAATCATTCTGTAGAAAACGAAATGGATGCAGATTTGACACGACACGAATGCGTGCCTGTGCCTGTGCCTGAATTATTGGACTGCATGAAAAATTGAAAAATACCATAAATACGGGCAGGACAATAGACTTAAATTAGAGCTCAGCTGCAGTTGGCAGTTGAAATACAAAGCTAAAATAAATGGAAATAATTTAACAGAACAGATTTATTTCAATAAATTTTTTTTTACAATTTATATAATTAATTGTCTTTAATACATACATTAGTTCACAACTGGAGATAGATATTTCTTTATTGTCCAATCAAAGTTGCCAGCTTCAACTGAGAGCACTTTAACTAAGAGCTGTATAAAATCTACCTTTAATACCATGCTTTTGGTCACATAAACCTTTCGAAACAAAATGCCACAACAAAAATAAATTAGATTATTTCATCAACTGAGATTAAAAGCTTTCTGTTTCGAGCTTCGTCGAGAGATGTATATAAAATATAAAATAACAAATAAATGAATTTTCATTTTAGTTTTAATTCAAAAGCTGACAAAAATGAAATCTGGCCATAGGTGATCCGAGTAATTGCTAAACTCGTCTGCCAGCTTTAAGACTTTGCTTGACATTTGAGCTGCTTTAATGACTTGGTTACCTAACGACAATGAGCTGTTGCTGCTCAGCCAATTAACTCGTATTAAATCGCATCATACGTAACCCTAGACTGCAATTGGTAAATCGCATTTTGAGCGGGGGCGGTAGCTCGACACAGTTAATTGGTAATTAGGTTGGGCTTCGTTGCGCAGCTGAATAAGCTCATTTGGCACTGCTGCATCCTTCATCCATCTTTATGTAATAAAAAAATGGTCAAGCACGTAAACTGACTCGACCGCACTCACATGCTTCCGCAGCTCAGACTTTGTCCGTCTTTTTGCATTAAATATGCAATCAACATGCCACCGAGTGCAGAACTCTCGCTTTCGTCTCCTTTGGGGCAACCGCAGCGAACACATTGCGTATACGTAATGCGATTAGCCTGACCACAGTTACAGCAATGCCAGCCATATCTACATAAGCTCTGTCTAGCTCTGAATAGCGCTTAGGGAGCTGTTCGCTCTGATTACGTTTTTTTATTTATTTATTTGGGAATATTCCAAATTTATGAGCATCGCTGAATTCTACGCACACAATCTAGGCCAGCGCACCCCTGTGGGCAAAGCAATGTGCGGCATGATTTATTTGCTAGCTGCCTTTTTCAGTCAAATTTTGACAAATGATAACTTGACACAGGCGAGCAATTGCCTTTAAGTTAAACTCAGATGAACTGCAGTGAGAGCTTCGATACGAGCTGTTTGGTAGTCGAAAGAAAGAAGCAAATTTGGTTGATTGAGTCGAGGACATTCTACATATACGCCTTGATATTAAAACTGAAATAAGTAGCAACTGGCAAGCAGTTCATGTTTGACGCCACCACATGAACATGAACTGCAGTTAATTAAAACTAGTTGAAATTGTTTGAGTTTTGGGCAAAGTTTCAATTGGGGTAAGGCAAGCAAGCAGGAGTCCTAATTTTGTACTTAGGACGGTCAAGAGAAAGCACTTAGAGGCGAGCGCAAACTTTTCAATTATGCATTTCACTTATTTCGAAGCGTTGGCCAAGTGGCCACTTGCTGCCAGTACAATAAAAACTAACAAAAAATACCGTCTCTGTTCTCAACTCTTTCATGTTGCAGAGTTGTGCCATGCTGCGTTGAAGATTCAGTCCACTTTCCGTGGCCATTTGGCACGCAAGCTAGTGAACAAGGATGTGCCGGAGGACGAGGACATACAGGAGATCACCAAGAAGGTGGCCGAGGAGCTGGACATTGATCTAACCGATCCGGAGCTAAACAAGGCCGCTACCAAAATCCAAGCATCGTTCCGTGGCCACAAGATCCGCAGGGAAACCAATCCCGAATAAGCTGGCCAATGCGCAGACTTTTCAATTTGTTGGTGTCGGCTGACCACAGAGCAGTCTACAATAAAAAATAAAAATAAAAAAAAATTGATTGAATAAACAAAACAAAAATAAAAATTGGTAAAATGTAACTGTGCAAAGTCTTTGGAGAAGCCTGCACTCATGTAAACTTTTTAGAGAATATGTTAATTAATTAATTAATAATATTAATAATTCATTATTTTATAAGCAATAATTCAATTGATGGAAAGGCAATTAATGTTTCAAGTTTTGAGTTCTTCAATTTTACAACTAACTGAAATCTGTCAAAGAATAAATCAGTTTATTAAGAAGGCACTTTGTCTATGGACTAGTTGGATTTGTTGCATGGAATGATTTGCTAGAGATCAATAAGTATATATACTAAATATATATATGTAAATTCCATTCAAAAATTATAAGTAATGCCGACCCGCGCCAATTATTAGCTTATAACTAAAGCCTATAATGGAAATTTCCTTGTTTATTCATTTTAAAAAAAATATTCAAGAATTAGCATTTGCCTAGCTTTTCGCTGCCTGCTAAGAAGAGATCTTTAATTTGCATATAAAACTATTTGAACTAATTTTGAATTAACAAGATTTGTTTAAACTTTGCTTGAATAAATACGATTAAAAAAGCGAATCAATTTGCAAAGCATATTAAAAAAGAAAGAAAACAAATTATGAAAAAAAGGCACGATGTTCCAAAATTTATTGTAGGGCAAAACAATGAAGACAAACCCAAGGAAAATGCTGAAACATTTTTGAAATTTAAACGGTTTGTCTGGCCAAAGCCAAAACCAAAAACCAAAAACCAAAAAAGAAAAAACCAAAAAAAAATGCAGTGTATTGTTGTACCTACATAAGGAAAAAACTAAAAACAAAAACAAATAAGAGAAGAAAATTATAATAAAAAGAGATAAACATAATTTTTAACTGACACTCGATGTTAATAAATTGAAACAAGCCCGCAAGGCACATTAGGGGTACTCTAGCGACAGCAGCTACGAAACGTCAACAAATCTTTTCAGCGAGCTACTTAAAAACTGAACTCAACAAGAACTCAAAACTAATCTGGTGGCACAATTTTTTGTTTTTCTACCAAGTGTACTACAAGTTTGTCTACTTGAAACCATATATATTATCAAGCAAAATATTTATATATATACATACGTACGAGTATTATAGAAAGAATTGAGAAACCAAAAATTAAAAAAAAAAAAAACTAAAAACTAATTAAAATGCTGGCGAAATTGCAGCAAAGAAAATTGTTACAAAAACGCAAAACGCAAACTACAAATAAATGTTTAAAATTCAAATTAATTACTACTAAATAAATAAATAAAGAAGAGCATTAAAATTATATTAGAGATCAAAGTAAAAATTCTACTAAAATTGCATAACACAGCTACATTAAACCAAAGTAAAAATAGTTGTAAGAGACAAAACTTATTGATGAATGGAAATCCAGAAAGCATATACATATATACATCCAACAATTAAAAACAGTAAATAAAAACAAAAACAAAAACATACAACAAAATGTCCCAACTAAATTTTAATTGAGTAATAAAAATAAATAAAACTTCAGAAAATGCAACAAAATATTGAAACTTGTATCCCGATTGGAAGGATGGTTTTTCGTCCAGTGCACTTTCCAGCTTGATTGACCATTATATATTTAGTTCACTGTAGCAGCTACTTGTCAGACTTTCTAACTTTCTCGGGCAACATTCGCCTACGCCTCAGTTTAGCCTCAGCAGCAGAGCTCGGCTCAAGGTCTCCTTGCTGCATTTGACATTTGCTTTTGAAGCTTCTACTTCAGCTTGTGCTTGTAGTTTATAAATAAGAATATTAACAAATCATTCTGAAAATGCTCTCGACTAGCTATAAATATGCAAAAGTTGGTCGTGGATTTCAATTGGAGTGAGGCGAGAACGGCCATCATCAGCTGCATCGTTGGTAATTTTATTGATGGCACAAAAGACACAACTTGACACTGCTAAGTGGGTTGCAGCACTGCCAGCGGCAAAAGCAACGACCAGCCGAAAGTTGTGCAGGTAGCGCGCTCTCTGCCGCAGCATATGGCTGTGTGTACGACGGACAAGGATAGACAAACAAGTTGCGAGGCGAACTTCACGGACACTGTTGCCACGAGGTCCTTTATAACAATAGAGCACGTCGCTGATGTTGAAGCTGCTGCTGCTGGTGCTGCTGTTGATGCTGATGATGACGTTGATGTTGATGTTGCTGGAAGGTAAAGTATGAGAGAGCATAATGAGGCTGACAGCTTGACCCACAAAAAAGCAGAGCATCTCTGCACACAAACTGCAGGCGCGTCAAACACTTGAGACGTCAAAGTTAAAGTGCTTTAAGAGAGTGCCATTTGGCAATCAAATGGAAATTGTTCTTAGTTTTGTTTTTTATGCTTAAGCTGCGATTGGGACGCGTTTGGTAACAAAATGTACATAAACAAAAAAGTCTATAAAATGCACAAATCCGCGGGGAGCATATCAAAATTGGACGAGTGCCACGCGACATAGGTGTGACTACCAAATTGAACATGCCACAGTCGACAGGGGCAGCGGCGGCAGAGGCAAGCGCCAACTGCAATTTGCATGCCATTGCAATTGCATGTCAATTTGAGCTCCCAGCACTCCTCTTTATGCGCCAGAGGACAGCCCAAAGTGCTACGGCGCTGCGCGTTGCCATTCAGTAAACTCGTTTTTTTGTTTCTTTACTGACTTTTTCACGGCTCACAAATATTTCAACGGTAAATTTATGCGCTTCCGTCTCCACGCGAAAAGACACAAAAAAGGAAGAAAAAAGGGAAACACGAATTGTAAGCTATCTGGCTGTGTATATGGCTTGCTCGTGTGCAGCATGGCGTATGCGCAATTTATGAGGCTCTAAAAACAAAGCGTTGTATAAGTGTTCATGCCATACACAAAAGGCAGCGACTAAGTGAGCAATGCGTCTACTCTCGCGATCACAACTAACAAAGACTCTTGCTAAAGCTTTGCAATGGCAAAAGAACAATTGAAATTGTTGTAAATATGAAAATATTTTATTTATATTAATTTAATGAGCGAATTCTCTGATCTATGCTGCACTTAGCTATGTGAGGATACTCAGAGCAGCTTAAAAAAATCAGATGAATGAGCTACAGAGATCTATGTTGAACTGTCTCTGAGTAGCTTACCACCAGAACCAGATAAATGAATGCAGCAATCTACGCTGTAATGATTCTTCTATCTGAAATTCTAGTCCAAAAAGAATATTCTTACAGATAAGCATCCCTTTTCCTAAAAATGACTCATTTCTATTGCCAGGGTTTCCCATATTCGATGGCTTTGTTTGTCGCTTGGAGCTTGAAAAGTTATATATTTGATAATAGTTATAGTTAAGTAAAACTTAAAAGTGCTGTAAACACATATGAGTATGAGAGAGTGCAACACGCCACTGAAGCTACTATTACTCACATATGCCCTCTATGCACATAGCTAATGAGTATAACAAATGGCAACAAATTGAATATATACTCTCATATAGTATATAATATATATTCTCATATAATTCTATGCAATTCAACACTTTAGCAGCCATTTAAGCCCTTGAATGGCTGTGTGCTTGCAATCGCATACAGTCATTTATCGTTTCCACTCTGGAACTCTAGCACTCAACATTTATCGCACATTTGCAGTGGCAGCAAATGCAGCACACGTCAACTTTCAATTTCTAAAAAGCGCTTTTGAACGAGTGTAGCGCTGTGTCTGGTGTTGGGGCCAGGCGGAAGGCAAATGAAATCCGTGCCAAATAAGCAACAGCATCCAATCAAAAGGGCCGCATGCCAGCTGCTGCTTTTCACACCTTTTGTGTGGAGAGCAACCGCAAAATATGCCAGCGACTATGGCGACACCAGCACAGGCTGATGCCCCCCATTTTCGGAGGAGTGCATCCGTTTAACTGTAAACGGCGCACTTGAGCGCATTAAAATGCTAAATGCAACCTGCCCTGAGAAATGGCAAAACTACAGTCTCGAAAATCAGTTATTGCTGTACTGATATGGAAACTTCCCTAAAATGTTGGCGTATTTGAGCTAAAAGCATTTTAGAGAACACGCTCAAGTGATTATTGTGAGCCAACGGCGAATGCAATTCGAACGTTTGCTGCAATTGCCATTCGACTTCATTTGTTTTAGCTGCTCCATGGCCGACAGCTGTCCTTTAGCTGTCTTTTTGACCATTCCGCCTGTCGCAGTTCACTTGACACTGACTCGCTAGCGGCTAGCGTGGCGTATACGTAATTTGTTGGCCAACTGCCACCACGTTACTTCCGCCCGTAAACAATTTGCCTCCCACAAGTTTGTTCATTACGCCGCCTGTCGTCTGACAACTGTGCCTGCGGCTAAATTATATAAGCAGGAGAGTCTCTTGAACAATTTAGTTGCAGCTATGCTCTTCACTAGGATAAGCAAATATTTGATGAGAAATTCATAAAAATGTGATAAGTTTTGCTTCTTCTGAATATTGGCAGCTGCTGCTGGAAGATTAGAATTGTCTTAGTTTTTATGTAGCTTAATTTATTTAAATAAATATATTTTAATATATTTTATACCATTCAATTTATAATTTTATTTATTTTTAGTGATAATATTTTACTGAAAAAAATACAAATGAAAAGTTTGTTTATCAAAAATAATATTTAATAAATTACATAATTTGACAATGAAATCTTAAGTCTTATTAATTTGATGTGAGCTAAAAAATCTTATAAATTTCATTGCACTCAATCAATTACTAACTTGATATACAAATTTAAAGCTTTCACATAACCTCCCTAAAATTAGTAAGAGTATTCTATTTTCATTACTTCCAATACAATGTTTTTGCTATTATTTTCCATCAATTCTGTGTTAATCCCCAAGCAAAAATCAATTTTGTTCGCCTGCCTTTGCAGAGTTTGCCTTGCTTACGACGAGAACTGGGCAGAACGAGTTACAAACTATTGAATATGTTTTTTAGTTCGTTTATTGATATTCCTCAAACATTTAACTACTGCCTGACGGAGCACACATTGCTTAAATTTCTTCCATAGGCAATTTTAGGGGCATACAAATTCGCTTTCTCAAGTCCAGATATTCATATTTATTGCAGATTTCAGTGACTGTATGCGAGTGCAATGCGGCAGGATTGTGACACTCTTTATAAGTACATTCCTTACCGCATGACATTATACTTTCTACCCATACAAAACCTTCTTCGCACTGTTGTGGTATTGTTTGTCTGCTTTGCAAGTTACCTAAATCGGTTGTGATAACGTGGAACTTGACGCAGTTTTCGTTGACGGAATCCCAGTAATAAGGAGCTTTTTAAAGAACGATCATTAAATGAAATTACTCGAAATTAAAGACACACAAACGCTACTCACGTATACATGTGTTAAAGTCACTTGACCCAAGCACGAGCAGAAGCAACAAATTGATCAGTTGAAGTAGATGCTTCATATTGGATTATCGTTGCACTAAATAGCAAAAGTTTTCTACTTCAAGTTAAATGTACAAGCAAATTCGTTACACTTATGGATATGTAAAGCCATTTCTTATGCCTATTTATGGCTACATTCGTATTTCTCTATCAAGCTGACCTTTGATAGAAAGGTCAAGAAGTTGTTGAAATAACAAGTAATAAACATGGGAGACTAAAAGTTTTAATGAGTCCAATTAAATCCACGCTCCATATAATACGCCCACGACGAACCACTCCACAACAACCTCCCACTTTCATTAATTTTCAAGCCAACAGCTAGATGAGTTTATTTGTTGTTTATTGAAGAAAAGCTTCAGCTCACCTGGCTGTAATTAGCGCTTCACAATTTGTTATTTCATTAGCCCAGCGCGCAATATTCAGATAATAATAATAATAAAACTAATATGCATAAACTGAAATTGTTGCGCCAATGTCTGCGACGGCCATTAACAATTGATTGCGTATACGTGATGTTGTACGCTTTTATTGCTGCACATTTGACAGCAACAGGACGTTTATTTTTGTTGCTCGCGCATATTTTGTTGTTTATTAATATTTATTTTTTAAGCAATAGAAAGAGGGAGCATGAATCGATTCCCAAAATCGATTTCAATGCAATTTCGACAAGTTCATGCACAGACAAGCCAACAAACTGACATATTACTATATAAATCTAACAAGATTCAAAAAAAGATTTGCTTTATATATATTTTCCGAACATTCCACAAAAAAATGATTTCTGCTTTGGTTTTGAGTTCATGGGAAACACATAATTTACACTGTCAGTAATCACGACTCTGGTCAGAAATGCGAATTCCAATTTTAGGCAAGTAATCTGGCTTTTGTGGAGAGTGCTTGACTATGAGATACCCTGAAGTCTGGAAAAAAAAAACAAAAATCGTATGGTATATAGGAACATATATATATTAAAATCGCTGAGATCATACAGACCCATAGACAGACATAGCGTTATTAACTCAGCTCGTCGTCCTGCTCAAGAACATATTCTGATATATTTATGGCTGCTGCCACGCCCCCTTATGTCTGTCACAAGCATTGTCACGAAACTATTATAACCTGAATTCACGCTCAGGGTATAAAAAGTAAGGATTGAGCCCAAAAATTCAAGACATTTTCGTTTAATATTTTATGCTTTATACTAGCTTTGATGGAGAGGGTCCTAATAACGCACCATTTGTATTTATAGGAGTTGACGGCATATTGAACACTTTATTGTCACTGACAAAGGATTAACCGCAAGGACAAGGCCATTGATTGCGCTGTGCTGACAAGTTGGCAACATTTATACCGTAAGCTGGCTTCATGCGCTGACAAGGACATCCTTTGGTAAATTATATGAAAAGAAAACTCGTTCGCATTCTGCTGGCTTCATAAAATCGCATTTAATTTTTCATGTTGTTCATTCCATTTTGTGGCCCTTCGTTGGCTCTGCTTATGTTTGTTTTGTTCGTTTTTTGTCTTTAAATGTTATAAATGAGAGTTGTGCTCCGCTGCTTTGTTGTGTGGATTAACCCAAAAATTAGTTGTCATTCTGCTAATAGTCCTCTCGCACCTTTTTTCATGCAGTTATATAAATGTGTTTTTTGTGTTTATTACTTTTTATTATCGTCATCTTGTGGTAGAATGTGAGCGCTGCGTGATTATATGCCCAAATAATATTTAATACATTTCGCCACTGCACTGTCCCACTCCTTGCCATTGGGACATTTGCTCAGTGCGACAATTTGCTCAGTTATGACAATGACCAAAACCAGCTGGTAAACTTTCATTTTCAGGTCTCAACTGTGCCAGCCTCACTAAAATAGCCCTAGCCTGACCACAATCCAAAATAAGTCTATCGATTGGTCAAGGCTTGGCAACGTTTCATCTCACTTTGTATTGTATCCAATAGCATTATGGAAAGTTTTTTAGCTCGAGTCACTTAGCTACGGTGCAAGCTGAAACGTTGTTCGACATAATTTAGTCTTCTTGCCGTACATTCAGAGTAGCACAAATTCTCACACCAATCGTGAAGTGAAGCCCCATTTTAACACGACAAATTGATTAAGACAGAAAAAATCAAACATGTCCAAGCAAATGTTTTCACACTAAAATACATAACAACAATGCTGCGTGTTTCGACTATTGTCGATAATTAAAAATAAATGTATGCAGTGCGTATACGCAATATTATTCTGCATTTGTTTGTATATAAACAAAAGATTCATAAATGCAGCGCGTATGTATATATTTGATAATAAATATATGTACATTTACTAAATATAATTTTTTTTAAGAATTCACACAGCGCGTATACGCAATATTTTAACAGAAATGCATATATATATATATATATATATATATATATATTCTGTTGACTTTATTAAGCATTTCAGTATTGAAAAATATTTTTTTAATAATAATTACACTTATATCAATACACTTCTATTAGTAAATTGTTATTAAAATAGTGTTTTTAATTAAACAAAAGCATCCAAATATATAAAAATATGTGAAAAAAACAGAATTAAATCAAAGTTATTTAAAGCGTATAAAACTATTCACTACTGTAAACAAAAGACTAATTTACTGTTTGACCTCTGATTTAACATTGACATTTAGCGCTTACCACACAGGTAGCATATTCGATTGATTGATAGGACACACATGCTATACATACTATATATTAAATGAGAATAAATATTTAATTTTAAGCTCTTCTGGGCCAAATTAAATTTATAATTCATACATATCGTATAAAATATATATTCACGAATCAGCAATAGGTAATGTATTGTAGCTAATATTTATTTAAACTATAAAAAAAATATTTTTATAACTGACATCAACCGCATTATTGCTCAAGCTTTGATTGAACTTTGCCATTCAGCTGCCCCAAAGGTCACTTCTATTTAATGCAAAAATGAGTGTTGACTTTTCCATGCTATTGGAACCATCATTATCATGTATAATTTTGTTGTTTTTTAAGTATAGCTAAAAGAAACTATTGACCTAACTATGTGTAAATTGACTAGCACGAACATAAGTGGGACTTCGCTTCCTTGACCAGATATTTGTCTGCCTTTTATGTAAGTATGTATGCATAAATGTATTATATATAAAAATATATATAATATATTAAATAACAATAGCAATAACATTAACAAATGTTTGCTCAATAATCTATTTATGTATTTAAAAATGAATATTTATGACAATTTTCTCTGTTTAACAATGATAAAAATGTATGCTAAAAATGTAAAAATAATATAAAAATAAGAAGTTTAAAATAATTAATATATTAATATTTATATCTACATTTACTATATACCTATATATAATATATATTTATACCTATTTGTTTACCTATATTTAATGTCCTTTAAAAATTATTTATTTATTTGGTTTGAGATCGGACACCTTCCCTAGTTCTTCTAGTCGGCCACCTCGACTAGAGCTTTCTTACTTGCGTAGCTTACTTTCAGAATAACTTTTCTTCTAAATTGTCTGTAGATGTGTATATTTCCCGAAGCGAAGTTGTGTAAAGGGAAAAGTATCAAAAGCCAAAACATACAAAATCATTTCAGAAAGCCACACAGTGAAGTGAAAGCTTCCATCTTTTTTGGTATATAAACTACGCCTAAAAAGAAGTCAACTTTCCATTTTCAATGGACACGGGCTAAGGTAGTAGGCTTTAGGCTTCTGTCTATAACAGTCAATTAACATAAAACAATAAACTATAAATACAAATTATTTTCAATTTCCTAATCATTGTTTGAGCTGGCATTACGGTCAAGGATGCCGGAGCTACATGGATGCCGGAAATACACACGAACTCTAATGTGCTTACTGCGTTGCTTTTTGGCAATATCGTACCTTTGGATAATGGTCCATGCGGCGGCTATGGTTCCAGTGGTGAGCGAGCAGACCAAATGGTTCTTCTGGGTGCAGTATCTAAAATTTTGGGTAACTTACTCTTCGCTGCTGACGTTCGATGTGCAAACGCAAATCTACGTAGCTTTCGTGATGATATTGGTGCTGTGGCGGATCTTTCAGTGTTCGCGCTGCAGCTTCTGCAATCCAAGTGAATGCATACAGGGGGACAAGGTGCCGATGAATAAGCGCATGCTCCTGTACTTTGGACCCTATCTGTTGATCTTTATTTTCTGCTGGCTGACCAGCATGTATTCGTTGGGCCAGGACCTCGTACGAATGTCGCTGAGTGTATCCGAAATACATCCCGATAATATGAGCAAAATAATTATGGCCATTCTGTTCAAGTTGCTAATCTTGGCCAATGCTATTGGACGTTGCATACGCTCCGCCGTCATACTCCAGCTGTTCTTCGACGAGCCTGGCGATGAGCTGCGCAATTCGCACAATCTGGGCGAGCATTACAATCTATTCTTTCTCAACTAATTTTAAACACAACTTTTGGCTGAGTGTTGTATGTAAATTAGAGCCGTTTCTATTTAAATTTGTGTTCATTTTTTTCTAATTTTTTTCGTACAAAGTTGGGTCAGCCGCATATTACGTATACGCCGCGCTGACAAAGGTTTTTTCGCTTGGCTTTGCCAACTGCGCCGGACATGTGAGAGACAGCAGCGGTTTTTTTTTCTGTGCTTTCGTTTGTTGAAAGTTAAGTCAACTGCAGCTTTCATTTGGTAAGTGCGATTATTACACAGATTTTATAATAGCATTATCTATCAAGCGCTACTGTCTAGCAGCTATATTTTAATGATTTTTAGTATAAATAGTATATATATATTTAGTATATATTTTAGGTATATTTATAAAGCAGTTAACAGAAATGAGTTTATATATGTTTTTTAAACTAAAGATATTCATATTCTTATTCGGCTACGGCTACGTTGCTACGGCTACGTTGGCCATAAGCTGACCCTCTTCTTGCTTCAATTTAACAAACGAGTTCAAGCTTGCTTCATCTTCTGCTGCAGAGCCAACCTCATTGTTAAAGAAGACATACTCATCATGTCAAAACTCTTATTTATCTTAGACTACATCAAATTGCAGCTAGAAGAGATAAGATTACAAACAAGTATTCGATAAGGTCGATTGCCTGTTTGTAATGGAAATACATTCCTCAATTTATATCATGACAATCTTTAAGGCATATAATCATAAATTGGTCACTTGAGCACCGCCAAATGGTCATGAATAACTGTTAGACTATAAGGCCAATTGCCGATTGCCAATTACATTTACATAATTCGCGTTCTCAAAGCTGTCGATGGCGGCGCCAACCAATCAGCATGAAAGACAAAAGCAGAAAGCAAGAAAAAAAGAGTTGGCTGGTGTTGGGCTGCAGAGCAGGCTAAAAGAATATAGCGGAAATTGTAGAGCTTCATCAGCGTGTCCATTGCGTGGCGTTGAAGGGCCATGTCACTGCATATGACAGCCTTGATTGAGATGCCATCAATGGCAGCGACAGATGCGGCACTGGCCTGACTCTTGGCAACAAATGGCCGATGACCAGTGCAATCAGCTGTGTCGCAAATAGCGCAAATCGAGCAAATGGCTGTCAGAATGTGATAGAAATGGGCTTAGACAGTGGCTGTTAGCTAGGTTAAACATGGATAACGAAGCGCTTTTCCATTTGTTATTACTACAATGTGCGCTACAGTAAATACAAGTCCAAGAGTCAAGAGCCAAGAGAGCTGGCTGCCTTTAATAGGCTTACAAATTGTTGAATAAATCCGAGATAGCCTCGCACTAAACTATCTATGTAAGCTGCCTGTGTGCTGAGAAAACAATCTGTATAATGCCAGGCCATGCATTTATCATCAGGCCAAACAAATTGGCAGACTTTTCACATTTTCCCACTCAATCAGTTGAGCAGGTGAGCAAGCAAGCAGGTGAGCAGGTGCTGGCAAAGCGACTGACAAACATGTCTTATCAACATTTATGGCAATTTTATGACGCCGCTTTCGCTCTCTTAGTCTCAGGTAAACTGAGACAAGCGCATAGATTGAGATGCATTAAACTTAGCCAAGTTTCGAGCGGGAGAATCATTGAAGCGCAAAATAGAGCAATAATCTTGGCACAGTTTAAAAGCGAACTTGGCTCACTGTGGCTGCCACGCCATGCATAATAAACAACTGCAGTTGCGCTCTTGTGGGCGTGTCGTGATGCTGTGCAGCGATAAATTTAATAGCAGAGCACACGACGCAGCGGCCAGCTTCAAGCTGTACCTCGTTAGGGACATGTCCTTGTGCGCCTAAAAGCATGCATAACGTTATTATAAGCGACCTTTCGTTGTAGTTATTCGCATGTCTCGCATGCGCCCACCCGAGCCCAGTCGAGCTCTCGCCTTTGCCCACTCACTGCCTTTAATGACTGCCCAAGCAGCTGTATTGAATTATTGAGTTCTCATCAATACACGAACGGGGATATCGGACAACGCCTACCCAGAGGCAGCCGCAGCAGTAGCTGTAGCAGTAGCAGTAACATCCTCATCATCAGCATTATTAACAACCATGATTTGGTTGAACTGAAGCCAGCTGGGAATCTAGGGAGATCTGCACATGCATAACATTGTATATGGCTGCTCATATATTTAAGTGAAAGCTGCAAAAAAGGTGAAATCATACAGGGTGCTCCAGCAAGCAACAATCATGCTAAGTGGTCATTCAGTTAACCAAACGCCCTGTACGCAATCGACACTCGCAGCACTTTTAAATAATTTATATTTCAAATAATTTGATTGGCAATCTGCAATGAAAAAGGAACATATATATATATATATATATATATGTATATATATGTATATATATATATATATATATATATATATATAGCATATATATGTTCCTTTTTCATTGCAGATTGCCAATATAATATATAACGCAAATATTCAGGCTAAAAAATAATAGACTTGAAACGGAAACAGGCATGGCCCATGTCAATTGAATGTGGGTTCAATTTAAGTTTTCCCGACTTGAACTTCATTTTATTCATTTGTTTTTTGGTATTTGTTACTTTCTCTCAATTTATCTGTTTCTAGGCATCTGGTGTAATGAAGCGCGCTTTGAGGCCTCTCCATTTCTCTTGTGTATTGACCATGAATTGGGTATAAATACTTATTTTTCTACTGTTCGAATAACCATTGGTTTTTATGGCTTTCATCTCGTAATCAATGTCATAATTGCAAATGCTTTGATTGCCTAGACGCTTGCATTTGCTACTTATTGGTAGTCTGCGGCGTTAATTGTGTGCAGAGTACGCTAATGAGGTACGCGCACCTGGCGCACCTGCCGCTGCCCAGGGGAGCAAAAAAGAACTTAATTAGTGAACGGTCAGTACGTAGCAATCGATGAGGTTTAGTATAATGAGGCCAAAGCGCCAAGCTAAAGGCTAATGGATACCAAACGCTGTTCATTAGAGCCATAGAGCAAAATAGTTAATTTCTTAGAAATTCTATATTTAAGACTTTAAAAATAAATAGAAAAATTTGCAATTTCTTTAATTAATTGATTTATATAAAGATATATAGAGGATGAGAGGTCTCTACTTATATTATTGTTCAAAGAGTGAATTAACTCTATTATATATAATTGCTGGTATGACGGCTTAAAGAAAACATATATCTAAAAAGTCTTGAATAAACTTGGCCTATAAGTGATTAAAAATCAAATCAGATAACTACTTTCTATGACTAAATATTTTGTTCTTCAATTTTACATTCTGTAAATAACTGTCCTAAGGTATAATCTAGCTTCGCAGAGATTGCAAATATTATTAAAAATATATGCCAACTTTTCAGCTCAATTTTAAACTCAACTAAGCTTAGCTACGGTCTTCGCATCATCATAAATTCTAGCTCTCTTGCCATTTCATCTGTCAGAGAGAAAACGCGCACATTTCTTACATAATTGGCACAAAGGCTGTCAGAAATTCTTCAGTAACCGGAGCGGCCTACTCATATGCTAATGCCGTTGCCATATCCTGCAGCGAGTCGACACTGACAATAACATCAATTGCGAACTGCTAAATTTGTTGTTGCTATTGGTGCTGGCATTGCCCTAAGTCAGGTGCGAATCTGAGAGGCGAATGTGAATGCACAGCAAAAAGGTCGCTTATGGCAGAGGCACGGCAAATATGCTAAATATGCGCGCCAGCCATGTGCCAGTGCCAGCAGCTGTGAGTGTCAAGGCAAATTTATAGACGAAGGAGGCACTCAGCAATTGACAACGATTTGCGGCTTGCGCCAGCTTGAATTGCGGCATGAATCTGCGATTGTCAATCAGCCCAGCGCCAGAGCCCCAGGTCTCGTATAAGGAAATTAATTTAGTTTATGCTAATTAGCCGGCTGGTGTACAACGCATTAATTATGGCAGAGCATATGGTGCGTATACGTAACGTAAATGAAATTCAAATCAGTAGGAAATTTGCATAGCAGGCAATGAGGTTAGCGCCAAGAGCAACAGCTACAGCAGCAGCAGCAGCCCCGTCAAAGCAGGCCAAACACATTATCAATCACTAATCGATGAAATCGATAAGGTAAACCAACAGCGAGCGAACGATACAAGCCAAAAGCGTTGCATGAGGTCGCCACCCACAATTAGAGATGGCAGCGTGCGGCCAACTGGAACTGTCACAAGACCGCAAAGCTAATCCCAGTAGAAAGTGCAACTAATGTAAATAACTTAAATGCCTTACGCACAGTTGCTGCTGACGGGCACTACATGGATAGCGTAAGATGAGTTTATTTACGCCTGTTGTGTGCACATCTCTAGTCCAGTTTCTTTCATCATCCAATGGTCCGCCTCATGCATTGTTAACAGCTAATCGAATTTACAGCTGATTAAATCGGTTTAGTCGTCAGTGGACTGCGCTTTTGTTCGACATTTTAAGGACACTGCAGTTTTTGGGTTGGCTGTTTGGGCGGCACCCTTCAATCATTTTTGTTTCATGATTTATTCATTCAGACACTTGAACGCTTTTAACTCAGTGTTGCTGCCGCAGATTTAATGGCATTTTATCTACAGTTGGCCCTAAAGGCCGACTGTGCTGCGAATTGGCACGCGTCGTTATATTTTCATTACCCTTTCAACAACTGTTGGCTGCTTGTGGATTTTTAAAATTCCTAACAGCTTTAAGTTTCGCTTTATTGTGCAGCAATTGCTGCTGTTTTTCAATCAGATCCTATGCGTTAGCATAGACATTAAATGGCTGTGTGATGTGGAAGAAAATTTAAAGAATCTTCTAAGGAAATACTTCTGAGACTTTCTCAGAAGTATTTCCCATTTCTATTCGCTAATCTAGAAATATTTCTTGGGAGTCTATATTCTAAGTTCCTCTCTTCCCGGGCTTCTTGTATTTTCCTAGTTCTAACTATCCTACCTACATCTTATTCTTATTCAACAGAACCATCAGATTACCCAACAATTCTAAGCAGTTACCTTTTAACATTAACAGATTTATGTTATTACCATGCGACGGTGGAAGTGGAACGTGTGAGACAACAACATTCAAAAGAAGATTCAAGAGGAGAAAGTTAACTCAAATCTGAGCCAACCTTGAGCACAAAAGGACATTTGTTACATAGCAAACGAAAGCTTTTGCTCGTGCTTTCTACGAAAGCATTTCAGCGAAAGCTTTTGTAACTGTTAGCATCTTGATTAAAGTTCACGTATACAAATACTGGGTACGCTATTTGAAAGCTTTTATATCATGGAATATAACCTTAAATACAACAAATTATATTACATATTTTAAATAGTTCGCTGCTGTAAATAAAGTTTATATAACTTTTTTTTAACTTTGTGCTATGCATTACTTAAGATACTAAGGCAGAAATACATATGTACGTATGCATACACATAGGCGTATTCATGGATTTATAGATATATATGTTATATATATAAATATTTAACTCTTTAACTTAAAGCTTGCATTAAATATGATGAATTGATTTTATACGAATTGTGCCTAGCTTATCATAACATGTCATGATCTTTACTCTCTTTTGGTTTAATGCAAATCTGTATCGTCCACGCGAACAGGTTTGCGGGACAAATACAATACAATAATGGTAGTGAGGGCGCTGACCAGAAAAATAACATCGAACCAACGATGATAGAAGTTGAAGTGCAAATTGCCAAGGACTTCTGTAATAATCACACGATACTCGGCTGGCATATTCATGCGCATCAGCAGAACTGATGAGCAGAAATACATGCCCATAATTTGACCCAAAATCAATACAATAATGTTGCTTGATTTGCTGGATGAAATACGATAGAAGAACTGTAAAGAAACAATAAATTTGTATCAATATATTTGATTAATTTAGGAAACACGTACCTTTGTGAGCGTAAGCAGCAGCCCGCGTATAGATGTAACCACAATGCACCCTACCAGGAGAAAGGACACATGTTGGTTCCAGAAAGCCAAATCTATATCAAAGCCACACCAGTGCACGGCTATTTCTAAGCCACGCGTCACCGGATCTTTACGGCCAACGCGATCAAATATTATATTAATACAGCACTAGAAAAGAAATTAGAATTTTGAAATGAAGACGGACATCTTGATTACATTACATTACCATAAATATCTTACATTATCATACATTACTTACCATAAATATCTTATAGACACAATAGACACTAAAAAAATGACCTAGAACATTAAAGTATTTTCCTTGCAATGTTTGCGACCAACGTTGACGCTCTTCCATGTTCTTAAGTGAACTTAGCTCGAGAAAAACGGATCGTTGCAACTCTTCCAGACCGTAAACTTCGAGTTTTAATTGATTGATGTCTGCAAAAAGGTAGCCAAATAAAGTTAATTAAATTGAAATGGAATGGAACAGTTAATTCATTTACTTACCCTCCCCAGAGCTAGTTGTACGTTGCACTGCTGAGGTGAGCATATCCCAAATCCTCGGCTTCGCAGGATGCTGTTTATTATGATTATATATGGCCATTGCAATTCGCCTCTTTTTTGCAGTCAGCATATCGATGGTCAAAGCCAAACGGCGCTCAAAGCATATGATGTCATTGCGCGAAACGGGCCTGCAATTAAAACCAATACATTAGTAGGATAACTGATAAGAGAACTGTTACATGCATGGGATTAATGTTGCCTACTTGATAAAATAGGTCATGCTGGTGTATGGATAATTGACAGCACCAAACCCTGAGAGTATGGCCATGACAGTTACGCCAATAACACTAATGCGTGACACTCCTTGTTCGATTGTGAAGATGCCATGCGAGGCGCTGAGCAGCGGGAATGGTTCACCGATGCGCCACAGACCGTAAAGGAAGACAAACCAACAGAGAGTAGTCAAAATGCGGACCCATCTATCGGAGACTGCGGCAAAAAATAATGGAATTAATTGTAGTACGCCTTAAAGCGAATATTTGCCTTACAGAAGGAAATGCTGTGTATCACAGAGTAACAAATGTAAACAGGTATCACGGCGGTCACCATAAACAACAAAAGGGTCAGACCCAGACGCCAATGGAAATAACGGGAGCTAGATTCCAAAACGTCAATAATTTCAAATATAATTAACTCGAACATTGTTATGGACAGGGCAAATGTTGAGGAGAATATCAACTGTACTGATATGTGACGAATTTCATAGTGTTTGAAAAGTTGCTTGTTGAAGAACAACCAACCGCCAGCAAAGAACAGCATCTGTAAAACAAAATAAATGACATTTGTAATACTAGTAACTTAAACCATAAGTTTAGCCGCTTGCCTGCGACACGAACACGATAACACAGTCGCCCAGAAAAGCCATTTTAGGCTGAGTCACTTTTTTTTATGCTTTGCTTGTGAATGTTTGTACGCTTAAGTGCATGGGCAGTGACATTGCTTGGTCGAAGATCGTCTAACTCCTGTTCGTCAGCACTCGTTAATTGGAAATTGCCAACAAACAATATAAACAAAAACGCCGATATGTCCAGATAAGCGTTGCCAGATTGCAAAATGTTGTACGTTCAACAGCAACTTATCGATAAATTTGAGTGTATTCACCCTTGACACCGGCTTTTGCCCAAAAAGCAAAAAAAAATACTTTTTTATTATATAAAATTAAAAAGTCATTAAAGAAGTTAGGAATAAATCTGAAATAATATGATACAGTCCATGTAAATCCAAATTTTCATTTCTTTTAATAACTTTGTGAAAATCCGATTGCTGCCGACCTACACCATTTGCCCATCTCTAATCGCATCACGAATCAGCTGTGCAATAACATCTTAAGTAGATTAAGAATTAGTAACAGTTGTTCGTTTTAGACGTGATTTAAACAAATGTCCCAATTATGTTAACGTTTAAACGTTAAATGTAAAATACTTTGTCAAGTCCAAGACCATAAACGTAACAATGTCGTGTTATTATCGTCAATATGAAGACACAACGGTGACAATACCAAAATATTCAGTCGAAAGCTCAGCGGGAATCACATATTATGACATCAAGGTATTAATTATAATTGTTAAAACGATTACTAAGACTACAAAACAGCTCTAACAACAGGTTCGTGTGGCCAATGTGGATTGGTTTGTAGAGCGACGATATCGTGATTTTGCTCAGCTACACGATAAGTTGGTCGAGGACATATCGATCAGCAAAAAATTGTTGCCGCCAAAGAAGGTACGCCCACCGAAAAAGATCTTTAAGACTTGATTAAATATTTATACCATTTTGCAGCTTGTGGGCAACAAGCAGCCTGCATTTTTAGAGCAGCGACGCGAGCAACTAGAAACGTATTTGCAAGAGCTACTCATCTATTTTCGAAACGAGCTACCGCGTCTGCTGGCTGAATTCTTGGATTTCAATAAATACGACATTATCTATATACTACAAGATCTTGCCAATTTGTTTCAGGAAAGTGGCGATGCACTACTGAGTGCCAAAAAGGAGTACAGTTTTTCTGCCTTGGAGGTATGCTCTAGTAACAAAACTTCAGTTTTGTCAGCAATTTATATATTATTTGTTGTTGTGAATTCATATATATTCTTATTTGTTTTTTTTTTTTTTTTTTTTATAATTTTACTTGAACACGCTTTTAGTGGTAGATATACTACCAAATATGTGTAAATTATTAGTAGCCGTCGTGACTGCGGTCAGGGGCCGTCCCCTCGCCCAGCGATTTTGTCAAAATCGTGGCATCAAATACTCTTTAGGTGTAATACACATACCCTCAACTAGTTTCTCATGTGAGCTGCAGCATACTCTGCAATCGGAAAGCAACTTTGCCAGCATCCAAAAACATTCCAATCTTGTCAAGCGGCATAGTAGGTGGTATGGAAAGCATGATCAAAGCAAACGCATTTTTTTCAATTATTTGCTACTTGACTCACGCATAACTAATGGTCTAAGGAATCGATCCAAGTTCATGCACAAGATCGACGTGTGGCTCACATTTCTTCGGTCTATCTTCTATGTGGGCAAGGGAAAAGCTACGCGTCCATACGTTCACTTGCGTCAGGCCCATAAGCTATTGCGATCTGCCAATCCATTCGTACTGGCTAAGGATCCGAAGCTGGCTCTTATTGTTCATCTTTGGCAGAGAAAACGTGGTGTTATTTTGCTGCGTGGCTTTAATGGCATCTCATCAAATGATGCACACACCCGTGAGGCGGCAATGATCGATGCCTTGGGCATCAATCATTTGACCAATAGGCGAGTGGGTGTCTACTTCGGTGTGGTCCGCAACAAATTTACAAAGGAACAGTGTAGATTAATGGGAGTGTTATTGCTTTATAGACTGCTATTGGCTTACCTTAAGAATGAGGAGTGCGAACTAAGACCTGAAAATGCTTCTGTCCTTTAAGAGTAAAGTTTCGTTAAAAGTAGCTCTCATTTAAAATCAATATTTTTATTTCTTTCCCAGATATATGCTATTAGTGAACGTCTCGCTCTACCCTGTCCACCTAGCACTGAGCAAGGTGGCAAATTTGACTTTTCGCACGTGCTGGACTTTAGCACGCAGTTAGAGGCGCTGGTCGTGACGCCCATTAAGGATAATGCTAGCTTTGTCCAGGATTACAATACAGTGGACGTGCCGATTGGACGCAGCAATATCATTCCGAACCGCTTGAGCTTCAACTTGAATGCATTCCGCAATCTCAAAACTCTCAAATTTTCAGCGCTCTCTACTGAGAATATCGTGGACGTAGAGCTATTGAAACCGACGTTGCAAACAATCTGTGTACACAATACCACAATTACCCACATTAACCAAGTGCTTCTTTGCGACAATTTGCACAAGAACTGCGATGTTCCCAGTCTTCTGCCGGACCCAATTGCATCCAATAGCGAGAATGTATTGCTTAATACAGATGCGTGGAGTGAGCTGAGCGAGCTGGATTTGACGGGCAATCTGCTAACACAAATCGATGGCAGCGTGCGAACTGCGCCCAAACTTCGACGTCTTATCCTCGAGCAAAATCGCATTCGCACCATACAGAATCTGGCAGAGCTACCACATCTACAGTTGCTTTCGCTGTCGGGCAATTTAATAGCTGATTGTATTGACTGGCATCTCTCCATGGGCAATCTTGTGACCTTGAAGTTGGCACAGAACAAACTCAAGTCGGTAAGTGGATTGCGTAAGCTACTCTCCCTGGTCAATCTGGACTTGAGCTGCAATCTTATCGAAGAATTGGATGAAGTTGACAATGTTGCTAATTTACCGCTCCTGGAAACGTTATCACTCACTGGCAATCCTCTGGCAGGCAGTGTCGGTAAGTGTGCGCACATCAGATAAATGTAGTTGGTGAACTCATTTTAAAGTTAAATTGTTTTGCAGACTATCGCCCACGAGTTTTGGCGCGTTTCCATGAACGCGCTGCTGAAATTTCGCTGGACAACGAACCAGGCACACAACAAGAACTAGACACAGCTCTAGTGCTCTCAGCTCTGTTGAAATCCAAACGACGACAGCAGCAAAAATGACCAAGGATCAAGATCACAAAGTCAACCTTAATAATCGCACAGTTCCAAACATGTAAAAATCAATCTCACCAACATAAGTATTTAGAAGATGTCAAATGGCTTAGTCAAAAAGCAAGTGTATTAGAAGATAATCAGAATTGTTACAGATTTCATTCAGCCAAAACTATTTGAGGGTTTCGTATAAACAATAAACACAAGAATGTCTAGGAAGCAGTAAAATAAAATCATTTTGTGAAAAATAATTAAGAAATGTATCAAATGAATCAAGTCCTCTGTAAAGTTCTGTACATACTAATTTAATAATTGTTCATGCACTAGTAGAAAAAATTGTGGCTATCATATTTTTATTTTATGTTTTTTCTTGTGTGGACAAGTACAGTTATGTTTTTAATGTTTTACAAATATCGATCAATATTTACTGTGCAATATTTAGATGCTCATCTACAAAATTGTAATGTATGTAATTTAATACAATTTATACTCAACAATATACATGAATATGTTTGTAAATCGGTGAATCTATGTCTAGTAATTCTGCCAAGGCAGAGTGTAATCGCGTGGTTTAAGCTTGCCCATCGCTTTGTATCATTGGGGGTGATGATGATGGTGGTGAAGATGCTGTTGCTGCTGCTGCTGGGCATGATAATGTTGTTGCTCGGCTGCGGCCACTGCATCGAACATGGGAGTATGCACTTCACCGAGAAACTGAGGTGTTGGCGGAGCGTTGGGTTCAGCTAGCTCACCAATTAGTGGCATATCAATATCTGTTGAAAGAGCACTCTGGCCGTAGCCAGTCATTCCATATGGCTGCTGTTGGTGGTGGTGTTGTTGCTGCTGCTGCTGCACCACAGACACCTGAGCGTATTCGGCAGCAGCTTGAACTTGCGGATCTAGCATGACAGGCGCTGCCTCCATTTCACCAAATTGTATTGGCGTTGAGTGCTGCTGATGTTGCTGCTGCTGCTGTTGCTGGTGCTGCTGCTGATGTTGCTGCTCCTGCTGCTGATCCTGTCGTGGTTCGGCCAGATGAGAGATTGGCTCAGGCACTGGCTGGGGCTCAATATATTCCCCTTGCTGCTGTTCATCGGTTTGCATATTCACTTGCGGAGCTTGTGACGGTTCCTGATGATGTTGCAGGTGCTCCTGTTGATCGTCTGGATGTTGCTGTTCCACCTGTTGCTGCTGGTGGTGCTGTTGGCCATCTTCTGGCGTTGGTAGCATATCGCTATTATCATCCATGGCATCATCGCCCATTTCACCGCCCTCGCCTGATGTTTCACCGTCACGACGAACCAGACCCAACATATCCAGCATATTGCGCTTTACGGCATTCTCGCTGGCGGCTTCTAAACTGGGGTAACAGGTGCTCAGACCACAACTAGCCAAATGCTGTGCCATTTTATTGCCATTGCTTGTGGCAAAGCCACAGATACAATGCATTTCCTGCGGCAAATTTACTTCCATTGCATCCACAAAATTACCATTACAATCGACGCCATGGCGGAACTGGGCGCGCTCGCAGCATGTCTGATAATTACACTTTACGCAATGCAGCCAACCGCTGTAGAGCATTGAGAAAAAAAGTTTAGTACCAAATAGCTTATATTCTGATTATTGGCACTTACGTGTAATGCGTCTCCTCACTGGCGATATCTGTATTGCACTCAGCGCAGGTTTTGCCCTCAAGGAAAGCAAAGAAAACTGGTCGTTTATAAGTCGAGAATGGCGGCTGCTCACGATGATGAGTGCGAACCTTGGGCGGAGGAATTAGAAGGGAATTGTTCAACAGCAGTCGAACTGGTTTATTCGTCTTGGTCATACTGACATGATGCAGTACTGCATGCTGCTTCAAGTCACCCTTCTCCAAAAAGCTCAGAGAACATTTCTGACAGCGTAGTGTCGGATCACGCTTGTTGACGTGCTCATCCAAATGCATAAAATAATGTTCAACCCGCAGCTGATTGACCTTGCCTTTGTGAGTGAAGTAAAAGATCTGCAAATAATTCATTTCGTTTAATCAACAGATTGAGAAGTATAAAGATTTTACTTACATCGAGACAGTAGGGGCATTGCAAAAAGTTTTGATTCTTGTGATCGTCGTAAAAGTGCCGGACCAGATCACGATGAGAGGAGGAGCGATAGCCGCAGGACTGACACCAGTAGGGTAGTTCCAGAGTGCTGTGCACTTTCTGTAGATGAGCGGTAAGCAGATGCAAAGAATTGTGTCGTTGCTGGCAAATCAAGCAATGATAGGATGGAGAGCCATCTGTCTTGGTTTCGGTAGGATGCATGATTTGGTTGTGCTTAGCCAGCACAGATTCGGTTGCATGCTTCTCCAGACAAAACAGACACTGGAACTGGTGTTGTTTACCCTCGGGCGAGATGTGTGACACCAAATGAGTCTGCAGCTTCTCATTGGAGTCATAAGTATCGCCGTTCAAGCAAATTGGACACTCCACAGTTCTGGTCAGCTCAGCTGGATTAGCTCGAGGCGAGCTATAGGGAAAATGCTCATAAAACTCTTCGGTACCATCGCTAATACCATAATAGAGTTCCTCAAGACCCTTGAGCTCGTCTTCCTCCTTTTTGATAACCACAGGTACCTTCTCTTTCTCGTCCTTTGCCTCCTTGGGCTTTTTGATTGGTACCTTGGCCGGCGTCACAACTGGCGTATTCGTTTTAGTAGGTCCTGTTTTTAATGACAGCTTAGAGCTAGCTGCCTTGCTAGCGGGTTTACTAACTGCGACAGGTGGAGGCGTGCTAACGGTGCCACGACGCTTACTTCCCGCTGGTAAAACATCCTTTTCCTTTTCACGCTCCTTTTCTTTCTTAACTTTACTTGAATAATCCTTGCTGGCATTCACATAGTCTGAATCACTGATAGCTACAAAACGAGAAAATAAGGTCGGTTTGTTAATAATAAACGAAGCTTTGTTGTGCGTTCCGATCTTATTTAAGGATATTGAAATTTTGTTAAGCGTCATCTATTTTATGATTTTTTGCTGAGCAATATTTTCAGATGAAAACATCATGACCCATCATAGTTGGATGCTAATATCAAGTTAATGCCATATATATACGTTATATCACTCCAAAAATCATAATGAATGCAAATAAAAAGTACCAGTTTTACATTGTATTGTATACATTTTCAGTTTAGTTATTGTTTTTTATTTCGTTTGCTGCTTTTTAGAACAAGTTAACACATTTTAAGAATGCCAAAGGTAAAATTATATGTAAATCAGTTTTTAAATGCTGACTCATTTAAAAATATCACGAATATAAGTAAATTTACATACATGGTAAAAAGAATAAAAAAAGATACGTTCATGAACATTCGATGTTAATGGATTGAAATAAAAATTAAAACATTTAAATATGTGTTGTGCACATTGGTATGGACATTGAAAATTACATTCGTCTTGGAGTGACAAAACGCATAGGCATTACAATATAATTCGGGTTTGGCATTTAACGCAGCTCCTGCTGCCCTATGACTAAATTAAACTATTAACGCTAATCACGGCCTACATACAAACTATCGATGATTTACTAACGTTTCTTGAGGCGCTTGGGCGTGGCATTGGCCGGTGTCTCCTTGTAATTGGGAGGTAGTACGCTCCAGTCTTTAAACGGATTTGTTGCAACCTATAAAACAGAGTTATCTTAATACAATTGAATACTTAATTGTGTTGATTTTATTGATACCCACCTGATACAGGCGCTGTGTAATGGTCTCATTGGTGGTAACGCGGGTCTGCTCAGCAATATGTATGATAATATTATTAAATGCCTGCAGTGCATACGTTCCAAAAGATTCGCGCCAGACCAGCTCATCGAGGAACTGTTGTATCATCTGACGAGAAAGCAATGAAAGCGTATTCTGGAACATGCGTGGTACAATGCGACGCAAGTACTCCATGACCGCCGAATTATTGTGCTTCGCTGCATTGTCAGTGGCTGCAGCTTGTACAATGTTCTTAAAGCCCATGCTAAAGAGTGTTATCTTATCTACAGTCAAATCTATACAAATTGTGCTGTCCTTGTGCACCCAACGGGAAAGCGGCTCTAAAATTGCCTGCAATTGAAAATGTAATGTTATTAGAAAAGCTATTCAAATTGGTAACCAATTGTGTTTTCCACAACCTGAAAGCGCTTTTTATAGTTGCGATCACCATCGGTAATTGGCTCTACGGCACGCAGCCGTATGGATTTGTCTGCATAATCGTAGACGCCAAGGACTTCAACCTTCACTTGACGTTGTGCGCCATCCTGCGACGTGGTGCCCAATGAGATGACCCCCACCTGCGAACACATAATATTACCAGTTATTAATTACTTTTCTTGAATTTAAAAATTTAAACGCACCTCCACAAACTTGCCGGGACCACCCAGTTTTTTGCACTTTTGATGCACTGCTAAGGTGCAGATAGCACGTAGCCACGTGTAAATTCCTTTGATGTAAACACTGTCAACCTTTACCCACTGCACAACGTTCTGGATGCTGGTCTGGCAGGCCCAATGATATATTAGCTTGAGCAGAAATGTTGGCGGATGCTGAGCCCCTTCAAATATGGAATTGTTGAACACCGATACGAACCGATATGGACAACACTCGCTAATCCACACATATCCGCCGGTATACGGGAACTTGCTAATGTCTGAGTAAACACCTATAAATACAATAAGTGTCAGTTAGATGATCATTAGTTATCACTTGTTAGATTTATTGTGGTATTACTCTATAGACTTAGAGATTTCGCTAATACTATTAACTGCACTTACCTAACTTGAGTTCGTTATTGCGATGATTAATGCAGTGCTGCTGTGCGCGCAACAATCCTTCTTGAAGCAACCACTCGCAGAACTTATTGGGAGTTAACATTAGTACGAGTTTGACCTTGGAGTCTAATTTGCTGCGCGTAGCTGCCATATCTTTAACCTTGAGGAATGGCTTGGCCAGCACAACCAGTGATGGATATGTTTTCCCCTGCATTTTCGTGTCCTTGCCATCCTTTGAGTCTTTACCATCTTTGCTCGTACTGTCATCGTTACTGCCCACTACCAGACCACCCACTGAATTGACCTCCGCAGGACGGAAGTTTTTGGGCGGCGCTTCGCCAGAACCTAATAGTTTGCTACTGGATCCTAAGCCAGACCCTTTGCCACCTTTGGGCTGTGGTGAAGACTTGCCAGTAGGCGATGCAGCTGCAGTTGCACCTGACTTTTTACCCACTTTCGATGTGGTTGATGCCGGACTGACAGAAGCAGCAACAGCTTTTTTACCGGCAGATAGGGCTAAGCGCTTGGCCAGTGGTACGTCGTCATCGCCCTCGTCCGATGACTCCAAATAGGCAATATTCGACGACAGACGTGGTCGACCCCGCCCTCGCCCTGAGCCACCGCCACCAGCAGCAGCAACGGCAGGAGTTGGGGGTGGTATATCTGGCTTTGGCGGCTTCTTTGGCAACGTGGCCTCCTTCAGCTCCTGCAGCACCTTACCTTTGAAAGAGTATGCCTGAAACACTTGACCATTAAACAGTTCCTTGCCTTCATTGGCGCTGACGGCGGATTTGAGCGCATTTTTCACAGCGTTGTGCTCATTTGTGATTTTCTCGTAGTAGGCTAACTGGGCTGGCGATAGCTCCTCTACCCAGCACTCCATATCAAGTGATATATCACTTCTAGTTATGCGCGTCATCTCTCCCAACGCACTGGGCAAAGTTTTACGTTATTTAGTCAAAATAATGCTTCAAATTAATTGGACAATACACTTTTTTCGCCGAGGCTGTACCGTGGATGTACCTGCGTCTTAAGTGTGACCAGATTTCCAAAAGTAATTAGAAAAATCGAAAAACATAATAAGAATTACACGGTTGCATTGAGAAAATTAGAGTGACCACATTACGCGAATTGAATAACATGAATTTAAATAAGTGACAATTTTGAAATGTAATTAGAATTAAAGACAGAATTAAATGTACATATATCTCAATGTATTTGTATATTGACTATACAATATATATACATATATATATATATATATATATATATATATATATATATATATATATATATATATATATATATATATATATAAATAAATAAATATATATATATATATATATATATACAAAATATATATATATTTATATATATATATATATATATATTATTCTTCTGCATACATTCCAAAAAAGCCGTTATCGCCAAAAAAGTGCCTTATCATTGATTTTTTGTTAAAACTCGAAAACTAATCAGTATATTGAATTTCTTTGTAAAATAAAGTTAATTAGTTAGTTAGACAAATCGTACGAAGACATTATTAGAGTACTGTATATATATTTAGTCATAAAAAAGATGAGATTAGTTCTTAGATTGCAAAAAATTTCCGAACTTTCATGTTTTGACATGAAATCAGATAACTTGACCCCCCGGTATCTCATTCAATGCCTTAGCCTTCTATTGTTATCATTGAAGAGCTATAATATATTTACAATGGGAAATAAAATATAACTGTAAATATTTTTGAATGAAAAGTCATAAAGTGTTGATAAGTATTTACTAGTAAAACAATAGTATTTAGAAATATGTAAACATCGCGTGATGGGTCTATAGGTGATCAAAAAACATATTAATATATTGATAAAAATTGGTATATATTTGTTATAATTCGAATTATTTTATGAATCACGGAAAGGCGCATAATACATTTCTATTAGCTAGGTATTAATAATGTAATAGTATTGGAGCAAATACATTCCGCGTACAAAGGAAGCCCTCGCTCTTAGTCTTGCGCTTGCCCTTGGCCCTGTCTGCTAATCGACTATGCCGCAATCAGCTATTCTAGTAAAAATCCATAATAAAAAGAAGTGGAAGAAGCAGAACTTTCAAGTGGAGACCGTATCACAATCAATTATGATAATCACAAGTTATTGCCATCGACTGTTTAATACTCGTTCGACTCGTAAAACTTTTCAATAATCCATACTTTAAGATATAACACTCCAACACTTAAGAAGTGATGGATAATAAAAATAAAAGGTAACTAGTGACATAACTGTAAAACTCCTCAGTATCATTGCTAGCTTTCATAAGGAAATAGATGAACAGACGGACAGTTAGTCTGTCGAAACAGAAGATGTACCCGACACAAAAACAAATATACCCCATTTCATGATTTTTCATTTCATTTTTGACCCATTGGCATTTCGCTAAATCGTGTCTTTATTATTGCGTATTAAGCATTTTGAATATCATCAAGTAGTGTGTCGTAAAGTATTTCCTTAATATTCAAGCCCCAAAGGAAGTCCAAATGATTCCACTTTTTCTCGGGCAATCGATACGCTCGTTTTAGAGACCTTTCGTCCAGTGTCATCCGTAGCTTATCCACATCTATAAGACTGGCGAAATAGTCATTATCACTGTAGTACAGATAGATGGGTACATCAATGCCCTCGACATCGTAGTCTGGCGGAGTCTTGCTGCCATAATCTTTCTTGTTCCTAGTCTTGCCATAGTCGAACTGACGGAAATAACCTGAATTGTATTCCTGCAGATAGTGGAATATTTGATTGATTGAGCAGCCAGCCGGTGTTGTGGCCATAATGTCGGGGATCATTGACTCATTCAAATACGGTGAGTCCCAGCCTCCCATCAGGAAAAGCACATTGGAGCACATCACTTGGGATATTGCGCCATCGCTGCATAGCAGAGAGCCCATCAACTCCATAGCCTTGGTGTTGGGCATGAACTCTGCGCTACCGAACAGCTCGACAAAAGCATTGGGCTGGCCTAGCAGTGGTCCTGCCACCTTGGCCAATGGGCTTTCCATGTGACCCATCCAGGCAACTGGTGCCAACAAATGTGCCGAGCGAATGCGACTCCTGAATCTCTTGATCATTGAATTCAACACAAAGAACGAAGTTGTGCCCTGCGAATGTCCGACATACTGCAATTGATCCTCGCCCGTATTATATAAGACGTAATCCATCATAGCTGGCAGGTCATAGATGCCTATGTCATGCCATTCAAAGTTCCAGAAAGGCTGGAACAGAGGAGACTTATCGGCATGTTTCCTTGAATAGGTATTTCCGCGAGCGTTGCCCATCCAGACATCGTAGCCGGCATCGGATAGAATGAAAGCCAAGCCATTACTTGGGCCACTTAGAACCCAGTCAGATGAGGAGCAAAGCAAACCGTGCATTAGGAACATTACCGGACGATGGCCATCGTCGCCAGTGTTCTTGGAGTATGGTATGCGATGCATTGTTAGAAGATATCCATCAGAGGTTTGCACTTGATGTTCCTCAATTGGATAACCATATTTTTTTACAATAGTCACCTTTTAGATATATATATACATATATGTAAGTTAAGATTGTTCAATTTAATATTAAATACAATTTACCGTTGTTGTTGAACTACTGCGGCCGGCATTGGAGGGCAAACCTGCTACAATGAAAGCTAGAAAGAGTTGAGCTGCCAGAAACCGTAACAGCCACATTTTAAACACAATTAACTGATATTATTGACCGCTGCAACTATATTGCGAACAGGTGAATTTCAACTACCACTTATATACCTCCTGGTCAGTTTAATCAGCCAATATAAAATGTGAAAAGCTTCAATCATATATTATTATAGTACAGAATTAGATAACCAGTCGACAAGTAAGGCTTCCTGATTTATTGCAATCAGAATTGTGAGATTTTGTGGAAAAACTAATTCAACATGATTGGTATATAAATAGAAATCGTATGTCGTTGATAAAACTCTGTGCGTCAAGATTTTGATTATTGCTTTGAAATTTCATATTATTTGCATTCAAACACTTCCCGCCAACATTCTGATGAAATTCCCTTTATAAGTACTTATTCAAAAATCCCTCAATCGTGCATAGTAAATTGTACTTAGCAGAATTACTCCTCCTGGTCATACTTAGTTATTAAAATATATTCCTGTTATCTTTATTAGCACAACTTAAATCGGTAATATCTACGTAAATTTGTAAGCATATTTACTTTAACAAATGGAAATACAAATATGTGTATTTATATTTTATGTTTAAATCGTTTCATACTGTTATTAACAGTTAGAATTACAGACACTACATCTCTGTTACTTAACAGTTTAGTACAGAATTTTTTATTAAGGCATCAAGCCGCATTCAAAAGAAAATATATAATGCGTGAAAGACGTGAACGAGACCGAGATCGGGAAAGAGATCGTGATCGTGAACGGGATCGGGATCGGGATCGAGAACGAGAGCGGGACAGGATCCGTGAAAGGGATAGAGAACGGTATCGCTCCAAATCTAAATCTCCTCGCAGCAATAGAAATAGATCAAAGTCAAAGAAGAAAAAGTCTAAGAAATCTAAGAAGTATTATAGACGCAGTCGTAGTAGCAGCCGAAGCTCATCTCGCAGCACAACTCCGCACAGTTCCCGCAGCAGTTCACGAAGCAGACAGAGCAAGAGTAGGGACAACGATTCGCGAAAATCAAAATCTAGATCCATATCACAACGCACAACCCGAGCACCCAGTTCAGAAAGCTCTACACGCCCGGCCACTTCTTCCACGCCCGCCGTCAAAGCCATTGATTTATTGGATGCCAAAGTGCAAAAGGCTTTGGACACCATTGACGAGGATACATTCAAGCCAACAGCATTCTTCAGCACACGAGATCGAGAGGCACAGGATAAAGACAAAGTAATTATTGACCTAAATAAGGAGACTATTAGCGTACCCAAGCCAAGCGAAGTTGTGACAGCAAAAGAAGACGATATATTTCATCCAAACGTGAGTTATATTTTACCCTTCTTTGCGCCCTTTTACTTTACAATTTTTTGTTTTCAGTTTTTGGGCGATTCGGAACTAAAGGCAGAGAAATGGCTGCGCAAACTTTACAATTATCGTCAAAAGTATATAGAGCAGTAAGAGCGTATTTTAATTTAACAATTAATAAACAATAGAAGCTTAAAAAATATCACTGCCAGTTTTACGCGCTCGTAGAAGAGCTATTTCTGGTGTTAACTGTTCGTTATCTGACGGCTCCTTAGCACTGCCATCGGCCTCTAGCTTGCCCGCTTTGTAATCGGCCAAAATCTTTTCCGAATAGATAGCATTGAAGAGATCCAAGCTAGTGAATTCAGATTGAACTACTTCTGGTGCTTTGTACGATACATATGGCTTCAGCTTACAGCCGGTTAAATCTGGCACAATGATTTCGGGTATTTTCTCAGGTATTTCGACAAATTGACCATTTATTGTGATGCCTGTATCTCGAACTCCTCGTTTTTGTATAGCCACCGGTGGATTGGCCATTGTCCGTTGCGCTTCCTTTACCACACGTGTTCCGCGCTTGCCGTACACGTTGAATTTACGGAAGTTTCGTTTGCCAGCCACTGGCGCAGTTGTGCTGATAGCTCGAACATTGCCTTTTACTGAAAGCGACAAAAGTTTAAAACAATTATTCATACTTCTTTGTTTTAAACTATGCTGGTTAAATAACAAATTGCCCAAGCTGCAGCAAAAACAGCTGTTTGACTATGAGCTGCCAATCTAATGCAGTCGGTAGGGTTTGTTTTGGCATCGATACCTACTACATGTATTAAAACACAGTGTGGCAGCACTTTGGCTGTAGTAGTGGCCAAACAATATTGATATCGAAGTTTTCTGCTTATTGAATATAAATTGAGATTAGACACTACATCTTTTAGTTAGTTGGAAAGTTATTCCAGAACAGTTGTTCTTTCTGAACCGGTAAATAAACATAAGATCGCGGTAACGATGGTAACTGTAGGTAAAGAAGAAAATGCAATCATCCAATACAACATACTTATTTTGTATTATTAGTTTCAGGCACTAAAAGTTTCGATGACGTATTTGAGGAACACTGGCACAAAATATTCTGCATCACGCCAAGCAGAGATCCACCCAAATGTGATCCCTCAGTACTAGAGTATTTTGGAGTACTAAGTCTAACTGATATCCGATCACCAGACCGCAAATTGTGGTACATTTACTATTCCAAGCAACCAGAGGTCGATGAAACCCTGAACCGTATTTTCCATAAATATGGCAAAAAGAATATGTGTGAAATTTTCCGGAAACATACCTTTAGTGGGGTTGGATTGCGTGCCAGAGTGAAAGCTTATTTTTACGATAAGAAATGGCATGTGAAAGGCAATATACTAGAGGCTCCAGCAAAAACCTCCTGCAATAGCGATCAAATGCTCAAAATGATCACAGATCTGTACAATGAAGAACGGAGAATGCTTTATGGGTTCTTGTGTATGAAGCATAATGGAATCAGGAAGCACTTTTATTAATGGGATTCCTATTTAGTATTTTAATATTTACAAAATCTGTGATTCATATATGTACAATTAAAATAACCAAATACATCTCCTGTTATTGATTAGTTATTTTTCGATAAAAGTAAAAGCTTTATCAAATAATTTAATATGTATGTTGGTAGAACTTTAGCTTTGATATGGTGCCTAAATATACTAAGTCTATTAACTGGTTGAAATAATCTACTCAACTAGGTCAGACTTTTAATAATTAGTTTGTACGTCTGGAAGGAAGCATGGCGTCAAAAATATATGTATTTTTTAAGCACTATATGATTATCAAGATCAGATATAAATATAATAAAATAAACGTAAAAATTAAGAGTTATATTAAAGTCTTAATGTTTGCTTTTGTTTACCAATTTTACGAAATTTAATTCTGCCATTAAGTTCCAAATAAGTAAACTTTCTAGCACAGTCTGGCAACGCATAAATGTTCGAGTATCGATACTTGCTCAGCAGCTTTTGACCAACAAACTTGTGAAATGAATGATAAAGTCGAAGCTCTCCAAATATTTCATATAAATTGAAATGACAGCATTGGCTATTAAGGTACAAGAAAGATAAACGTAAAATAAATACAATTCTAGTATCGAGCGAGAAGCATCGTTTTTTCCCACCCACGCAAATAATGGCTTCAAATGGTATTCAAAAAATGTTACATTAAAAACAACAATATAAATTATTTATTAATTTCAGATATTGATTTCAATGACGAGTTTGAGAAATACCTGAGTCGTATGTTCTATATCAAGCCATGTGAAGTGACATCTAAATGTGATGAGTCGAACGTTGAGTATTTTGGAGTACTGAGTCTAACTGATGTCCGATCACCGGACCGCAAATTGTGGTACATTTATTATTCCAAGCAACCAGAGGTCGATGAAACCCTAAGTCGCATTTTCCATAAATACGGCAAAAAGAATATGTGTGAAATATTTCGAAAACATACCTTTAGTGGGGTTGGATTGCGTGCCAGAGTAAAAGCCTTTTTCTACGAGAAGAGGTGGCATGTGAAAGGCAATTTACTGGAGGCTCCAGCTAAAAGCTCCTTCAACAACGATCAAATGATTAAAATAATCACAGACCTGCATCATGAAGAACGGAAAATGCTGTATAGTTTTTTGTGTATGAAACACAATGGCGTCAGGACTTACTTCCATTAATGTAATTACTATTTGTTACTTTAACATTTACAATCTCTGTGATTCATATACATATGTAAAATTTAAGTACCAAATTTTGTCATATTAATCGATTATCTAAGCATTTCTTAATAAAAGTAAAAGATGAAATAAATACATTAATATTAATGCTGATAGAAGTGTATACATTTTTTAAAACATCTTATCAAAGATAAAAAACTAGTTAAGGCTCTAACCTGGCTATAAATAACCGCTCAACTTTGCGAAACTTTTACGAACAAGCCATATCTTTTAATCACCCTATTTCATCTTCGATATTAATTGTTATAATACAAATTCAAGAGCCAGAGAGTGAGCTATAATAAAATGAATATGAAAATTACATTAATTTTTTAGGGCACAAATTATTTTGTTCTATGTTTGTTTACAAGTTTGACGAAATTGCCGTTCTGCCATTAAGTTCAAAATAAATCACCTTCTAACGCAGTCTGGCAGCGTTCAAAGTGTTGAGAATCGATACTTGTTCAGTGACAGCTTTTGACCAACAAAGTTGTGAAATGAATAATATGGTGGAAGCTTTTAAAATGTTTCATATAAATTGAATGACAGCATTGCCGTTTCAAGCACAAGAAAACTACACATCAAATACGTACAATTTAGGTATCGAATCATAAACATAATATAATTATACCCACGTTAATAATGGCGTCAAATGGTAATTAAAAAAATTTACAATCAACAAAAATATACTAAGCCATTCAATTAAAATTATTTCTTTCCGCAGTTCCTAATTTTGATGAGGAATTCGAGAAATACTTACATCGCATGTTCTATATCAAGCCAACAGATGAGACGTCCAAATGTGATCCCTCAGATATTGAGTATTGTGGAGTGCTAAGTCTAACTGACCTGCGTTCACCAGACCGCAAGTTGTGGTACATCTATTATTCCAAACAATCTGAAGTCGATGAAACCCTAAATCGCATTTTCCATAAATACGGCAAAAAGAATATGTGTGAAATTTTTCGGAAACCAACGTTTAGTGGCGTGGGATTGCGTGACCGAGTAAAACGACATTTCTGCGATAAGAAATGGTATGTGAAAGGCAATATTCTAGAGGCGCCTCCAAAAAGTCCTTACAACGATGATCGTATGGTTAGACTGTTAACTGAACTGTATAATGAGGAGCGAAAAATGCTTTACAACTACGTTTGCATGAAACACGATTCGATCAGCAAATACTACTAATATTTAGGTACATAGTATATTTAGATTTACCAGCTCTGTGATTCATATACAATGTATAATAAAAGTAACAAATTTTTCGAAATTGATTAATGACTATTTGCTTACGCTGTGTAAAAATAAGATCTTTATAGATAGACATTGCTATCAATATCTGTGGTGGCAGCTTATTTCCATTTCAGGTCAAACCATTTGAGTTATAAAAATATTTAATCATAGAACGTATGTAAAAATGTATCTCAAATAAATTTACGTTTCATTTTTAATATTTTAATATTAATTTTGAATAGTATGATAATATAATGCTAGAAAAAATACTATAAGTCGTGGAAACAACATTTCTATCAATCATTAATAATATCGATATCGAAACCACTGCAGACCTGTCCATTTCTGCGTGTCTTGCTTTCTGACAGTACATTTAAAGCGGATAAACTATAATAAAAATTGAATCATTTGATTACCATTATTATTATTAATATTTACGCCTAATAACATGGTAAGTAAAAGCGTAAAACTGCAACTTTCTGGATCTAACTAAAAGTGCTCTGGTTCTTCGCTATGTTTCTATGCACTTTAGTCCACGGGGCTCGTTAACGCGAGGGCAAAGGAATATTTACATTTACATCGAATTGATAAGCACAAATGTAGTCACAGGTATACACATTGGGAGGTATTTGTACCAAACATACATAAACTCAAATATTACAAATATATTACAGTTCTGCCAATTCGTCCTCTTCGTCGTCGGCATCCTCGGAGAGTTCTCGTTCCCGTCAGCGTCGGTGAGTATCGAATAAGAAATTGAGTATCGAGTAAAGATTGACAGGCGCCATCTCAGCAGGCGAAATATTGTGGTTGCCTATTAAACTGTCAACAGGAATGTTTCATTTGGTTTAGCTTTTCAAGCGAGCAGGTTCTCTTCTCAGTTTTTACCAAAAAAATAATTAATTGGAAAAATGTAAGAAAAATATGAAATAAACTGTTTACATTTCAGAGCAGCGTGTGTACAGTGCTAATTGAAGAGCAAGCAAGCAAGTTTGTTTCTGAAATACAATGTGGTGAATCGTACACAAATCTCATAGCAGTTCAATTCAAATACTCAAGTGTCAAAAACCCGAACAACACATTTTTACAATCAAGATGCACAGCCAGCAAAACCAACTGAAAATCTAACCTATTCCCATTCAAGGTCGGACGGTGAAGTCTATGGCAGCCGTCATCACAATTACAATTCAAAATCGAATTCTCAACATCGTCGGCGTTCGCGCTCCGGGTCAGATTCGCCAGTGCGCCATTATTCAGGCCGAACATCTCGCGATCGCCAGCGCATGCGTCAGGCACGCGTAAGTAGCGCCAATTTAAAATCAATCTGTATTGCAAAGCAGTCATGACAACGTCCTGTCGCAGGATCATCCACAGGCTAGCCGCTGTATTGGAGTCTTTGGTCTAAATACAAACACCACCGAGCAGAAAGTACGCGAATTGTTTAATAAATTTGGACCCATTCAACGCATCCAAATGGTCATCGATGCTCAAGTATGTTAAATCGTTAAATCATATTCAACAAAATGCCAAAAATTTGTGCGCAACTTGGGACTCAGCTTTGAAGAGTTGTGTGCCGTCTTTCTTGGCTACAGCATACATAAATACAGCAATATTGAGTGTTTGTTATGCAAGTTACTAGCAATTCACTAAAGGCTTGCTGCAACATTCATCCTATTAAATTATCTAAATTTTGAATTTTATGAATTGATTACAAAATCACTGTTCATAAGTTGAAAAGTCAGTTCTTTGCTGACACTCTAGTTATATACATTAATTTAAAAACAAAAATGATATAGATTAGAAATGTTTATAGGTAATTCACTATATCAAAAAGAAAGACTAGTTATGCAGCTATAATTGCTTACAATGCGTACTAACAACTCTTACAGACTCACCGTTCTCGCGGATTTTGCTTCATTTACTTTGAGAATCTCAGTGATGCACGGGTAGCCAAGGATGCCTGTACAGGAATGGATGTGGATGGCCGCCGTATACGCGTAGATTATTCGATAACACAACGTGCGCACACACCCACTCCTGGTGTGTACATGGGACGCCCATCACGGTTTGTATAGTTGTTTCCTATTGTTGGTTATAAATTGTCATTATTTGAATGTGTTGCAGCCCACCGGGCAGACGTTCTCGTGAGCGTGACTATAGCAACCGAGATAGCTATCGTTCGCGGCGCCGCCACCGCGAAGAATCAACGTCAGTGTCGCCATCGAATCGTCGTAAATATCGCAGCCGTCATCGCTATGAACGTAGCCGTAGTCGCTCTCGCAGTTACTCCCGTTCTCGTTCACCACGCAAGCGTAAGTCTGAATATAATTTAGCAAAATATTATAAAAGCTTCTTCCATGTTTTCGTTACAGCGGCTCGCGTCCCATCACGTTACTAATGTGCCGATAATTGCGTGCTTATGTGAATGACAAGTTCGCATGCACAGCAAATGCAAAGGCTCAGCACGAGGATATAGACTGAATTGTTTTGTTTTTAAATCCCTACACTTATCCCATAAATCGTTTGGTAGCAACATCTGTATAATTAATATTATATAGTTTTCATCCCGCCTAACCATAATTGATTGTTTGTCAATATCGTTGCATCCTTGTACGTTTTGTAAAACGTGTCACCACACAGAAAGCATCCCGTGTATATTACGCGTTCCATCCTCGTAACTTAACGCGCGTAAAACACATTGTGATATGTATTTTAAAAGCAACTGCGTGAATTGATAACAATAAACTAATAAAACTAATGAAGTTGTACGTTTTAGTATAAACTAAATAACATCTTACATGTGCTGAACGTGCAATATATATTTAAATGCATTTGTTGACAAACACATTTTTCATACACTGTTAATATTTTTATGGTAATTGTACAATAAATTAAACTGTAAAAATTGCTGTATAAATCAGTTCATGTATGCTTTAATATGGCGGTTCACCCACCTAAGAATTGAATCATGGAATAGCTGCAGCTGCTGTGGAAGTTGCTGTCGCCGACGTCGTCGCAACACCTGTTGTCGCTTGCGTTGCACGAGATGTCTTGTAGGCGAGCTCCAAAGTTTGCTGTATTACTTGCATGTCTCCTTCAATGCTTCGCGCCCAGTTTTCTACATCACCGAGTTCTTTCAGAGCACTACTGAAATTGTCTATCAATTGCAGCCACTGATGTGTCTGTTTGGCAAAGTTGGTGGCACCCACATGCAACTGTTTGGCTTCTACATCTAAACGTTTTTGATTTAAATATGCTTGCGCCACTCTGTTTTAAATTAGTATGATATGAGCATAATATACACAGCTGAAATTTTGCAGTTAGCTTACCCCACATTAAGGTGGTCAACTAGAGACTGCGTAAGTTCGTTGGAAGCTTCGATGGCTTCTTTACGACGCACTTCTTGCTCCTGCTTGCGCTTTGACTGCTTAGAATGATGCTCTTTTACCATTGAACCTAACATCTTGTACTAGGATTTGATTTTCGTACGTCTGTAAAATTTTGATTTTTTGTTTAGCTAGCTCACAGTTAGAGATGGCAACAGTGAGAATATAATATCAGCTGTTGACTAATCTATCGATTAAACAAGTTACAACTATCGATTATTGGCTTGAAAACGGAGCCATTATTTATTAAAACAAATTGTAATTAGTAATTAGCATATTTTCGTTAACAATTCAAAAGCACCTGTGCCGTTTCTTACAGGTAGGCCCACCATTAGTCGACTTGATGGGGAATTTAGCTCGTCGGGGCGACCGAAACCAGCTGCGTTGCGCAAGAACTGCAAGCTTGATTCAAATGACATTTGCTGTAATGGTGAAGAAGAGTGTTCCATGCCTTTGCGTGAAAGCGGCTGGAAAGTACCGTCAAAAGTCATGTAATCGGCAATCAGGGACAAATGCCTGCGATCTACAGTAATTCCATAAACCTTGAATACATTGCTAACTTCCTTGACAATGACCTGGGTCGCAGCTTCGATACCATATGTACGTGCTATAGCATGAATATCGTTGGAGTACAAACGATTCAGATCCAAGATTTTGTTGTGTTGGAACATTTCACCAATGTTAATGCCATCCGTTTTCAGTAGTTGTTCATCGTCATTACCCTTGTAGATAATAGCACGCTTTATATGCGGCACCTGATGTACAATACTCTTTGCGGCCAATTCGCGTATAATGGATGTCAGATCAGGCTTTTGGTAGCGTACACTGAGGTTAAGTTTCACTTTGCACCAAAGATGCTGATCTTTGTCGTAGGTGTAATCCTGTACCATTTGATTTCCAAGTAGCTTTTCCACTGATTTGTCATCCATTTCACCATTTTCTTCGTTTGCCAGTTCATTTCCATCTTCACCATCTTCATCGGGCTCGTCTTCATCGTCTACAAAATTATTAGTTAATATATATTGAAATCAATAATATATATTGAAATGAATAACATAATTACCATTAGCGTCTATAATTTCTTCAGCATCATCCGGATCGTCATAGTCCTTTTCGTCCGTTTTACGCTGCTTAAGCTTAATGCCAGTCGCATCATCATCACCCTATTGCGGATTGATTTCTTTCAATTAGATTCTACATGTATTCACTATGAAATATTTTACTCACGCCATCATCTGAGGAGTCGTCATCATTGTCTGCTACTTTTTGTGCACCAACATCATCAGCTGCATCCAACTCTTGATCATTGTCTTCGTCCATTTTGTTGCCACCCTCCTTTTTCTCATCTACCACGATTCTGCAGAATTATTAATGTTAGTTTTGAGTTTGGAGAATATCGACTGCGTGCTTACATTTTTGATGTTTTCTTGGCATTTGACACCTTTAGAATAGCGCGAATAAGCTGCTTGAAGAATGTCTGGTGCATGTATTTTATAATACGTTTAGGCCGCACACTGTAATCCTCCTTGTACATATCGCGTGGGAGGAATTTAAAGTACAATTCGTAGACATATGCTCGTTCTGGTTCCAGCGTCAAACTTGTGTTGATCTGCACGACTATTTGTTGATAGGACAGAATATATATATTAAGGCAGTTTTTTTTATTATCATTTTAAAATATAACTTACATTCCAGCAGACTGGCTAATGTCACACAGTTGAGAGAAATACGCAGCTTCTCCGCATTATGCTGCTGTCCTGGTTTGATGGGTATATCCATTGAAGGGGTCTTGATGTTTGATGAAGCTAACATAAGAATTTCACGCAAGCGCGGTATACCCAGAGTGACGTTCATTTCACCACGACCAGCAAAATGGAAGGTGTTCAATGTCATCTGGGTGGAAGGCTCGCCAATCGACTGAGCTGCAATCAAACCCACCGGTTCTCCAGGCGACGCCAGCGCCTTTATGCTCTTCATGTGCATAATGTCTGCTATAATTTGTTTCTGTGTCGGATGCTTAATCGCATAGTCATTGATTAATTGACGCGTGCGCTCCGAGACTGATCCATAGTAGTTATCTTGCTTATATACGGCCACGGTGGGATCGGGACAGCGTGCATATTTCTTCCGATATAATGCTTTGTCCTCGGCATCTGCCTTTTTCCACAAATTGAGCAGACCCTCATCAAATCGTCTGCGTCCCGTCTTGGAATTTATTTCATTGGGTCGTGTAACTTCCACTTCGTTCCGAAGCTCCTTCGAAAAGTGAGTGAATGCGGCATGCAATTTGGCTGGTTTCTTCTTCTGCCAGTTTCGTATGTGTTTCTCGTGGCGCTGCACTTTGGCGAGGCACTCTTCATCCTTCATTAGCTGCAGTTGGCTAGGCCGCAGAACGGCTTTAGAATTTTGTGCAAGAAAATCAGCGCAGAATTTTCCGTTAAAGAACTTGGACTTTAGTATGTCCAAACCATCCTCGCCGTAAAGAAACTGCACCACACTATTGTCACTATCGCGCACAGTCAGGTCATAGTGCACGCTTAATCCCTCCAAGTGCTTGATTAAACAACGCTGCAGATAACCGGAGCGTGATGTTTTAACAGCTGTATCGATGAGACCCTGTTGTCAAAAAGGATCAGTAATCAGCAATCTCTTTCATCCCAAAATTATAAACTTACTTCACGACCAGCCATGCAGTGAAAGAAAAAGTCCTGTGGCTGTATACCTGTCATAAAACGTCCATCAATAAAGCCGCCCGATTTCGGCGATGTCTCAAATGATGTAAAACTAGGCAGAGATTTTCCAGATATCATCAACGGAGGTCGTTTGCCTTCCAGCTCAATTTGACCTAGCAGGCAAGAGATTTGCATGGTGTTAACCATGGAGCCTTTGGCGCCAGATAACACCATCAACTGTAGATTGTTTGATGGAAACTTGCTGATAAGCCCACCAGGCAGACAAGTTCTATAAAAGAATATAAACAAAAACAATATTAATATATTGGCCTTTGCATATTAAATGTTAATATCAAACTCACTTGTTAATGTCATTTGTGTAGCCATCTAACATCGATTTGTATTTGCGATCAAGCAAGACCCGAAATTTAGTATCCTTAACATATGCAGCTTCCATTTGCTCGGCCAGTTCATCATGTGGTGGCACATCTTCCAACTCCAGAGCAGCAGCAACGGCACTATTGCCTATATCGCGACACTCGTGAATGATCTTGCGACGCTTGCGGTCTGCCTCTTCGGTTACCAAAATGTCTTTGACGCCTAAGGTGAAGCCCTCGAGTTGCAGGAAGAACGTAAACACCTTTGTGAAGGCGGTAAGCAGGCGCGTGGATACATCGCCTCCATACAGCTCATACATGCAGTGGATCAGACCAAAAGTTGTTGCGCCATACTGCTGCTTGTCCAGAACGCCCACAAGAAGCTCACCCTTACGTATTTGCACCTGACTCTCACTCAACTCTTGCTCTAGAGGAGTTGAGCCACACAATGGAGTACGCGATCTGGCCACATTCCAATTCTGAAAGAAGTATATGGGTTTGTCAATAGGTTACGAGTTATGCAGGCACGTCATTTCTTACCTTGCCGCCTATTTTGGCAAAGGAATCCAAGTTGATGCGCTCGTATCCATCCGGTATCAGATTAATAATTATGGTCGAAAGCACTTGCTTGCCAGACCACAATGTTGCTGGCTTTAATATGGCTGGTGGAAGCAACTTGACATCACCTTTAAGATGCGACAGGCCCTGGAAGACCAACTGCTGATAATCTTCGCGATTGAAGAAGCGGCCGCGTATGGACAGTTTGACACCCGATATAACCTGATCCTGAATAAGACCTCCTAGTGGAGTACCGTCCTTGGGTACCAGGTAGTTGCTGGCCACGTTCACTAGATTGTAGGCTTCAGCACGTGCCACTTCGCTTTGTGGATAGTGCGCATTCATCTCGTCACCATCGAAATCTGCATTGTATGCCTTGCAATTGGAGTAGTGAAGACGAAAAGTTTTTTCGCCATGCAGTATACGAGCCTTGTGCGCCATTATGGAAGGCTTATGGAGCGAAGGTTGACGATTGAGAAGCAGCACATCACCATTTAGGACATGGCGGTGGACAATCTTGACGCCATCCTTTGGATTGGATAGCAACAATTTAGCCATACTGGCCCGTTTGGACGCATTGTCAGCGGGTATGTAGGTAGTCAAGCCTTTGCTGTCTTGTATGTAATTAGCGCCTGGGTGCACTTCTGGACCATTCATGACCATTTTGCGCAACTCAATGACATTCCATTCAGTAACCGGCACCGGATAGGACAGTTTGCGTGCAAATATGTCTGGTATACCGATCTCATCTACATCGATATTGGGATCGGGCGTTATGACCGTACGTGCAGCGTAATTAACACGTTTACCCATCATGTGCTTCCGTATAAGACCCTCCTTTTTTTCTAGCACTTGCTTAAGACCCTCGGCGGACTTGATATCTCGCGACATGTTGACGTCGAGCAACACATCTACGGAGCTCTGCAATGCCAACCAGGCATTATAAAGCTTTTCATGACTGCTGGCGCCACGCATATTTTGATAGGCTGATCTAGCTTGGTCACTCAGTTTGTCTTGATGTCCCTTCATAAACTTGAGCACCACATTAAGCACATGATTATTCTCAATTATGTTAACATAGATGTCCGTCTGTGGATTCCCTTTCATCATGTCGTTAATAACATTCATTGGACGTGCTCGCGGCGGTGTAACTGGTATCGTATCCATAAAAAATATATCAACGGGCGAGCAGTCGCCGTTAATACTCGACTCGCTGCTGTTCATGTTAAGCACAGGTACGAGCAGCTTAAGAAACTGTGGATAATTTTCAAAGATCTTTCGTAGATAGCGACGACATTCATCTGCAAATATGACCTTGTTCTGGCCACTGGTTTCGGGAATATTGCTCATCCTATGATATAAAAATAAGTTAAATTAAACAAAATTTTAATTGGCAATTACAGCCTCAATCTCACCGTTCCTTCAAATCGGCAATGGTCACATAATAGACGAGACGGCGATGCAAATAGCGCACAAAGCGCATAGACTTGTTGCAGTGTCTACACTTTTTGCTGGAACCTCGCTGCAGAGCAGCATGCGTAATGGCTGTACGTAAGGAGCAGCTTGTTTTGGTAGAGTTGCTGATATTGCTCACATTTTTGGCCAAAAGCTCGTTGACCGCTGCAATACGTGGGTGTACGGCATCGCCGTTGTCCAGTTTCACCATCGCATCGGTGTTCTGGCAAACAATTTCTGATTTAAACACTTCCAGTTCTTGTGCCTCAATAATATATCCGGCATCGATTAGGCGCAATTGAAGCATGACAATCTCCCGTTCATGATCTATAGAAACGGAATTATTGATTATTATTGATTATTGATTATATATTGATTATATATTCTATTTTACCACTCACCTTTCATTTGCAGTTTGTGACAGTGGAGACAGAATATGCACAATAAACGCTGCACCAGTTTGATAAAGAACGGATTGTACACCAGTGAGCCCAGTTCAATGTGGCCCATGTGGCCAGGACAATCTTGCATTTTCAGGCATGTACCGCAAGGATCCATGCATCGGCCATAAGACCCCAATCGTATGTCATATAGGCCACCGGGTATCGGGTGTCCCAATGCATCAAATGTGAGGCCAGTTATTATTTTCACTACACTTAGTTTTTTTACTTCCTCTGGTGTGAACACAGCGAACTCCAGATCCGAGGGAAACATGTGCACATCAGGCGGTCTCCTTGAACCCATTTTAAAGCGTTATTTTATAAATTTGATAGGAAATAAGCCGTTTGATGAGCAGCGCGCAGCACGTGTATTTGAAGACAACACCAAAAGTATTGATGAGAGCAACGATATATCTTATCGATATAATTCTTTTCCGACTTATCGATATTAATCAAACTAAAACTACTCAGCAGCAAGCAGGGCTGTTATACACAATAAATGCGCGATAATTCAAATTCGAAGTGAAACAGGGGTTTATATTTATTCAAAGAAAGAATAAGGTAATAAGTAAATACTTAAATATATACGAAATATTTTACTTCAAGTAGATTCTTTGGTAATGCTTAAAACTTATCACAAGTCAACTGGTATTGCCAGTTCTTAATAGCCACATTTTGCTCGTATTTGTTGCGGACAGTGTCCAAGAATTCCGCAACAGTTGTCTCATCTCCATTTGCTGTTGCTCCGTCGCCGCAGCCATCTCTTGCTCCAGTTCCAGTTCCGGTAATTCGGGTAGCGTTTGTAACCTTCTTGCCCGTTGATGGCTCATCGTACGGTTGCAGTTGTCTTGGACGTCGCATCCGGTTACTCGGTGCTGGTTCTCGTTCTCGTTCTCGTTCATGTTTCGCTGTCCGACCACCTTTGCGCCAGGACTCGACATTGGCCACGCTCGTGTCAGCCCCATACTTGGCGTTTCGTCCAAAGATGGTCGTCCAACGAAACCACTTTTGTCATAAACCATAAGACGGCTCTTCTGATGAGATGCGTCTGCTATGGGGCATCTCGCGCCGCAACAGATAAACACACAATCCTAAGCACCCAAGAAGGAGGCACACTAGTCCAAGCATAGCATAAAACCCTTGACGATAGCGTGCTGCATCCGCACTGGCTTCCAAGAGTTTTACACGATGCCTCAACGCACCGCCACTCCCATCGCGGAGTTCTGCATCCTGAGTTGAAGGCAATAGAACCTGCCAAAAGCCATAAACGCGCCGCAAATGATTGCCATAGCCGGAATCTAGCTGGTTGTTAGTCACATATGAGTTGCCATTGCTTTGCCGATAGTTGTCATGTCGATTTGTCCTGGACAAGCTGCGATCTGTATCGATCCCTATTTGCTGCTTACCACTTAGTAACTCTTCAATCGCCGCCTCATCCTCGCTGGTTGGCAATTCTAAGCTCTTGGTTAGTTCGCCCAGTGCGTAAATAAACGGACGCTGTTGTGTGTATGACTGCCAGGCGTCATAAATGCGACCGGGTGTGGGATTACCGCCTTTCACAAAGTTAGCAAAGGAGCCGCGCAGCTTGCGGCACAGCTGCTCCTCCTCGGTGCTAAAACGACGACGCGCAATCTGTTGGAATAAGCTTGGACCCAGTAGGAGTGGTAGGTCTGCACTATGCGAGGCGCCGCCAAACAAATTCTGCCTGCCACGCATGTCCATCGCATGGGCATGCGACTGATCAAAGACATAGGCATAGCTAGCGGTGCTGCTGTTATTGAGGAGCTGCAGTAGGCGCAAGAAGGGCGTCTCATAGAGCGACTCTGAAAGCAGGCGCTGCATGCCCCACAGCAGCTGACTGACTGAGGCATCGTTGCTAAAGTAACGCCAGCGAATGGCTGCCAATTGAGCGTCGCTTATACTTGCCTCCAGCTGCAGGTTCATAGAGCGTAGAACGTTTGGTAAGAGCGTTCCATTGATATAGGTGTGAAGAGCTTGCTGACCATCCCGTGCCACGTCTAGCCAGTAATCCTGCATGAAAGCGCCTTCATTGGATCCAATGCCCAGGAGCATTGCTGGCAGAGACACATTTGTCAAACGCTGTTCCAGCTCATCAGATTGGGGTAGCTGCACGCCCAGCTGCATGCTGGCATTGCCATGATTATAGACGCTTTCATAGGCACGCAGTAAATCCTCGGAACTTTTGCGGCGTAGGCAACTCAGGAGCTGGCGATGCTGTGCCTCTTCAAACTGACAGCCCAGTTTATGAACGAGTGTGCGCCCCGTGGCCACAATGCGCTCTTGATGGCCAGCACTTAAGGCATACAGCACAGGGCCTGGGGACATCAGAATCAGTTGCTTAAACAACGGAGACCCATCAAGTGCAGGCTGCAGTGCGATGGCTAATGCCAAAGTAGCACCGCTACCATGGCCGAGCAGCGTCAATTGATCGGCATTGGCTCCAAAACTGGGCGCATTGCGTTGTAGCCAACGCAGTGCCATTTGAATATCACTCAGTCCATAGTTTCCCGGCAGCTGGCGATGCTCCTGGCCCAATCCCAGCCACCCATAAATATTGTTGCGATACTGCACGCTGACCACAACAATGCCCTCGGCGGCGGCGAGGTCCAGGCCATTGATGCGATTACGTGGCCAGTCATAGGCAAAATCCTCACCGCTTATAATTACCAGTATAGGCAATTGGCCATAACGCAAGCCCGATTCGGGTGTCCAGATGTTTAGATATAGACAGTCTTCGCTGTTGCTTGCAGCAGGTGATATGCTGCCATCGGGACTCTCGTCATAAATAGTATTTGACAACTGCGGACAAATGGGCTGCATCGCCGTGGCCTGCAGCGTACGGTTCCAGCCATTGTGAGGCTTGGCAGGCTACAGAAAGAGTAAAATTTGAATGATTATCGATTATTCCGATTGAAGATTGATATCGACTCTTCGAGTTAAGCTTTTTTACAGTCTGTTAAAGGATATGTTAAAATAACATAATTTATCTCTGTTAAAAACCCGTTTTGATCTATCAATTGAACGTACAGCAAATCGTAGCGATCCCAAAGGCGCCTGTGCGTAGGGTATTCCCAGAAAGGCATAGACAGCGCTGCGTGCTCCGTCCGGAAAAACCTTGAGCTGAAAGCGAAGTAAGAGTTGAGCTTCTATATTTGCATATTCATTTGATATTTACGCCAATAAGATCGCCCTGCTCCAGTTTAATATGCGTCTGTTGGGCCCAGCAGCCCCACAAGCTGAGCCAAAAAAACACCAGCAGCCAGTTGAAAAGTCGAAATAATTGCATCTTCGGAAAGCCTCTCTTACTTTCTAACGCATATTAGGCCGCATTTACTTTTGAACTATTTAAGTGGATTATTTTTCCTTTTTTCCGCAGCAACTTTTCACATGGACTCCTTGACGCTGTAACGATAACTAAAAAAATAAAAGTATTGTACCCGTTGCTGGCAAACGCTGGTTTAAAGTTTATGCTAGAATTATTTCAATTGTTTTCTGGTGTCATTATTGTTAATGCGGTTGTTCAGTTCTGTTCGGGAATCATTCATGCATTCATGTGATCAACACAGCCAGCGACACCAAAACTCCGAACAACAGGTAGGCTAACAGGGTTGATTGTTGTCTAAACACATATATAGGGAACTACATATGCACATACATATATGTGGATATATGCTGCGGGCTGTAGTCAGGGCAACTCCCATGCAAAGTGGGACTGAAGCCCATAACTTTAAACCCAAAACAACATCAATTGTTAAATGTGCTCCCATTGGAGTATGGGCTGTAAGTTTATAGCCGAGGGTTATTTCAAACCTTTTGCAGTATAGATGTATAGCATATATATTTAAGTTTGCCAAATTTGTCATATAGAACGTTTTTAAAAGCTTATAAAAATAATACGATGTGGTTCGAGTCAACAAGACACAGCTGTGTATGAGCCGAATAAAAATGTATATAAAATATATATAAAATCTGACATATATATTACTAAACTGAGGAAGATAAAAAACTGTATGGAGCACATTCAAGCACAGAAGTTTCCACGAAGACGTACTCTATTGCTGCTGTCAGCTGTCTTAAGCAAACTTGCAGAATTCTGGCTTTTATAATTTATTATAATATATATATATACATATATTCATTCATGTATAATTACCAATTTCTATTTCGTAAATTCCGTAAAATCCAATCGTCTGTTCTCACACTGACCAAGTCTTGTGGCAGCCCTCGTCTTATATTATTTTGTTTTTTATAAATTTCAAATTTTTTATTGAGTTTTAATTTTGCTGTTGGCTCTGCCTCTGCCTCTGCCTCTGCTGCTGCTGCTGCTGTAAATATTCGTACGCTTCACAGACTGCGACAGAGAGAACTTTGCGTCTATGTTGTTAAATGGAGCTATCGGAGCTTTGGGCTTGCAGCAGATAATGTACCATAATGTTGGTTTAATTCCGGACCAATGTGAACAGCAGCTGCTGCTCTCTCACTCTGGTGGTTGCTTTTTTTCGCTGGCTCTGCTAGACGAAGCGCAGTTCCGGTCAGCGTCGGAGTTGGAGATCGGCGCTGAGTCATAATTAACATCTATGTTGTCATAGCAACCATTGGCTCAGGCATAGCTATGCATTTAATTAGTTTTTGAGAGGAATTTCGAGAGTAAAATACAGCACGCGAAGAGGCTGCGCCGCTATGCCACATTTTGCGTTAATTGTGAAGCACATTTAAATTACCATTTGGCTGAACTTGCCCCGTTGCCTACCATGTCTACAACACTTGTCTCTCTCTCTCTCTCTGTCACTTAATCAATTTATGGCTGGTAAGCGTGGGCGTCGCCTCGCCGCTGGATTTCGATTATTGTAAATTGCAATGATGCCCCAGTTTGGTCAATGGGTCAATCTCGCTCTATGCGTGTGTGTGCACAGCAAATTGGGGCTCTATGACTAGAAATAAAAAATCATAGGTAATAGTTTTTGACGATTGGCAGCGGACTAAGCCTTGAAGCCTCTGTTGACGCATGAAAGAACAAAGGCTGTATGTCAACAATCAATGCCAGTTGCCAATAAACACACACGCAGTTATCAATTAAGCTTTAATTCAAATGGTTTTGTTTGACGAAGTATTCGAATTGGCCAAATTCAAAAAACGTCGCACAGATTGTGCATTTTGGCTGCCACCTAAAGCTGTGGCCGTTGTTGTGGGGTTTTGGCTACCGAAACATTTTCAATAAATTCGTCATAAAAACGTTTGACACAAACTTGGAGCACTTGAAGCACTAGAAAGCTGGACAAAATGTGCCAATGCAAATAAAACTACAATTGAACAATTTTGCCAACAACAACAACAACAACATAACTTGAGTCGAAATTATTTATTCTTGTTTGAAACTTTTGGCTAATGAAAATGTATATGATATTTGACAGAGTCAGAGTCAGAGTCAGAGTCATGTTTACATATTGCCAACTTCTTTATCGAATTTTAGTTGAATAAAAGCCAATTGTCGACTGTTATTAGGCATCGTTGCCATATTTCGTTCTGCTAGCCAAACGCAAAGCATTTTGCTGTGGCAAGCAAAGGGGCTGCCTGACTGAGCTCTCTGAGCATACTCGTAATTCAATTTTGATTTATATTTTTCAACAATGCCAGGCATTCAGTTTGTTGTGCTTATAGTCCTTCCTCTATTTTTTTTTTTTTGTTTGCTGTTATGTTATGCATACTTGACGTGCAGCAAAGTGAAAATATTTTGTGCAGCTTCAGATTTTACACAGGCATATTCTTATTTTCGGCTTTGCCAACAATTTGTCAACACTTCGAAACAATTTAAGTTGTGGTTGCTGTTCATGAAACTTTTCAAATGCAATGCGACAGGCCAGGGACATGGCCTAGCCTGTATATATATACATATACACATACATATATATTTATTTATATACGTGTGCATACTTCACAAATTCTCTTTGTTTTAATTTATTTCTGCATCCCTTAATAATTCTTGTGCCATGTTTTTTTTTATTAAATTTCATTGAGTAATATTTAATTTTATATTTTCTAGCAAACTAGTGGTAGCAAGCTTCAATTGCACTTTATTAGCCAGACCCGAAGCACTAATGCCAAATGCTGCTGCAATAACAATAGGAATTATTACACATTTTCAGTGTTTCATCAGCAACAATGCAGCATAATATAATTATGTAATTAGCTGGAGCAACAGCAGTGCCAGCAAATTTGTGCGAAAATGTTTAACAAAACAATGGCCAAAGTTTAAGTGGTTGTTTCTCTGCTACTACTACTACTACCAGTTGTTGTTGCTTTAAGCCAAATTTAACGGCCCAACAATGTGGCAGACATTTTGTTTATGCAGCTAAACCCAACACGGCTTGCACTTAACCAGCTTGTGCATAGCATGTGTATGCGGCGTGGCTGTGTGAATGTTTTACACGTGCTCTTTATAATTAATGCTAACAAATTTTTCGTTGAAAAGGAACTGAAAACATAAGCGACTCGCATAGCCCACTTTAGCGCCAGCAGCATTCCAGCTGGCTTAGCAGGGGCAGGGCCAAAGCGCATAGCCAAATGGTTGTGTGAATCAGTTCTTCAGCCATTTTGTTGGCCTGCTCTGCTAGCCACCAAAATAAGCTAACTAAAAATTAAGCATATGCACAACAGCAGCAGCTGCTGCAGCTGTGCGTCCTTGACAATGTCAGCTGCATGCAGCTACCCAGCGACAGAGGGCGCCACTGTGAGTGTGACAGCCCTCAACAAGCATATTGTCATAAGAATAGTAGTCATGGCTATAGAATTTTTAATAATTTATAACTTTTTTAGTTTAGTAGCTGCTCAGAAAAGTGTGCTGTCTGACTGCTAGTAGACGAGCTAATAGCAGTTAATGTTTTTAAAGAGTTGATCAGTGAAGCGTTCATGATAATAAAGAATTTTTAAGGGATCCTAATTTGTTTTTTTTAACCTTCAAAATATATGCAAATATCTTAATTACTAAAAATTATAGAAGATATATCAATCGAGTACCAGTTGAAAAATATAAGCTTAATATCACGCGGCTCTACAGATTTGCTGCCTTTTACAAAGTTTGCTCTTCTAAGAAACTTCCTTTTCATCTTCAGCTCACGAGAATATGGAACGTATACATAAAATCTGAAAATGCTACAATTTATTGTAAATTTAGTTATCTAAAAACTGAAATAGTATTTGTGCACAAATGTATCTTGAGAAAAACTGAAAAATATTTGGAATATCGAAAATAGATTCTTATCTTTGATATACCATATCCATAAATAGTATTTAGTCCTTAAAGTTTACAATGATATACACTATTAGATCACATCTTCCTCTGGCTCCTGGCTCCATTTTACATAGAGCTCTGTGTGTGTGTCTCTGCCATTTTAATGATTTCATTAGTTGAAGCCGTAGAGCTAGTTGGCAATTAAATAAGGACGTTTAACGATACAAAATTGATTTTCCAATATATCTGCAGGGCAAATTGAATTGAAGAGTTGGCATTATAGAAAAACAATAACTAAACTCATATATGTGCGTAGCATTTGAAGGTGTATCTGGTTTATTATCCATTACATTGTACCTTCACGCACACAGTTGCAATTTCTATGCCAGCTAGCTGTCCTAACCATTTTCGTAACCAAGTCAATTAGGCTCATTTGCAGGCAGACGGAAAGTTTTGCGGGCGAAACTATTGCAGCTGCATGGAAAACTTAAAATTATACTCGCATATATCCTTTACCTATCCTTACAATCTAATTAACTGTCATTGTGTTAAAAAGACGCCAAACTGGCAACCAAAACTCGCTACCCGAACGAACACAATGACAGAGCCGTGGCTCGCGGCCCTTCGTCTGGCTGCTTGCGTGTCAGTCCTGACGGTGGCAGCCCAGCCAAGCCGAGCTGCAGGCTGGCGGCCCCCGCTCAGCGCCTCGGCGGGCACAACAAGTCACGTCATTTGAGGCGCTAATACTAATGCTTTGGCAATAACTAGGGCTACATGCAAGGGCACTTTCGTGCGGCCCACGTGCCGTCAGCCTTCGGAAACTAATCAATAGCGCAAAAATTTTACGTTTAATTAAAAATGTCTGCGTGTGTAAACCGGGCAGGTGGCGGCAGTGGCTCAAGACAGCCAGTGTCTTATTGTTAGGAGTGTTCGATGGATGTGCCGCTGCCTAGGACTATGCAAAATGCCAAGCAGTCGGCGCTAGTTAGCCATAGCCAGAGGGTACGTGGCTATAATTATAGATTTTCTTAGGATTCAGCGCATTGGCATACATAAGGCGATCGCAAACATATATATATATATAATATATATATATATATTTAATATATATATAATCAAATGATTCCACAAATAGTAGCTTAAAGTTACTTGCGGTGGCAATATTCATAGCAAATGATATATGTAATAAATGCGGTTTAAGTTAAATATTTTTGACTTTATCGACCCTGAGTCATAGTCAAAGTAATTGCGCAATATGGGTATATAAAGTGAACTATGTGGACAATTAGGCATAGTCGTACTCTGGCGATATGAAGCCAACGATTATTGTACTGGCGGTCCTTGGGCTGATGCGCTGCACGGAGGCGAGGCTAACCTTAGCCGAAGTGCAGGCAGCGGAATGGGAAGCCTACAAAGCGGAGTTCAACAAGACGTACGACGAGGAGCAGGATCCGCTTCGTAGGCAGGTATTTGAGGACAATAAGCAAATTATTGATGAGCACAACGCGCGCTTTGCCCAAGGCAAGGAAACCTACGAGATGGGCGTCAATCAGTTCACCGACTTCCTTGAAGACGAGTTCAATGGGAATATTAATGGAATGCTCAGTGACGACATTGCGAACTTGGGCCTATTCCATGGAGTCAGCGTCCATTTGGATGACAATGATGTACACGAGACTGAGACTGAGCTTGAGACTGATAACGATCACGTTGACTGGCGTAAACTGGGTGCAGTCACGCCCGTGCAGCATCAGGGACATTTTAACAACTCGTGGGCTTTCGCTGCCGCCGGTGCAGTTGAGAGTCGAGAATATTTGGTGACTGGCAAGCTGGTGCCGCTTTCGAAGCAGAACCTGGTCGACTGCTGTCGCAGCAAGCACCGCCGAACGCTAAGTGCGCTAAAATGCATCAAGAAGATGGGTGGCATCGATACGGAGGCATCCTATCATTATCGAGGAAAGGCTCATCGCTGTCACTATAAAAAAAAGCATGCTGGCGCCGTTGTCAGCAAAATCTACCAGAGCCGACCAGGCGACGAGAACTCGCTGGCTCACAATGTCGCCAAGGGTCCGGTTGCTGCCGTCATATCTCGGGAAGCGCTACGTTTCTACAGACGTGGCGTCTTCCACAACCCGCGATGTGGCCAAACGCCGGACTATGCAGTGCTCGTGGTGGGCTATGGCTATGGCGAAAATTCCGGAGACTATTGGATACTCAAGACCTCACTGGGAACCGCTTGGGGAGAACAGGGCTATCTACGACTGGCACGCAATCGACAGAATCTCTGCGGAATTTCGAACAGGGCATACTTTCCCATTGTTTCTAAATAAGTAAATAATTCAGTTTTAATATTTGGGAAACTTTTTTATACCAAAACTAGGTGAAGAATATTAATTAATAAAAAATTGATATTGTCTGCGCACTTAATCTATACTAAGACTTTAAATTTGTTGTTTAAGAAGCCTTAAGCTTAGTTAATTTGAAGCATTATTTAGTAGACAAAGATACTCCTAGGTACTCCTAACATTCTAGTATGAAAGAACCTTCTGACAGCAATTATTAATTATTTAGTTAGTTCTAAGCTTTAAATGTTTGCTTTGCATTTTAAATATATTTTTAATAATCTACTTAGCTTACAAGTACTTCACTGTCATATAACTTATTGTGGCTTAAAATTAAAGCAAGTGTGAGCTCATGTTCGTGCATAACACTGGCGTACAAGGTATGTGTTTATGAATGCTTCATGCTTATGGCTTGACCTGCTTCTGTCCGTCCATCCAAAGTATTTCTCTTCTCTTATAGCGAGAGACTTGAAATTTGATACATCTAATCGTTTCTTCCCTCAGTTTATACACTGTAAAGATGTTTTGGATGCGAATGGATAAGGGCGTGGCACGTTGTGAAATTGTACCTCTAGTGTAACATGAACACTATTATTTTTGCAACTTGGAATATATACTGCAGTCGACTAGCCTCGTGTTAAAACGTGTAGGGGTAGTTTATATATATTGAATATATATATTAGCATATATAGTAGTAGTAGTAGTAGTAATGGAATAGAAGTACATAGTAGTAGAAGAAGTAGTAATAGTAGTAGTAGTAGTATAGAAGTAGTAGTAGTAGTAGTAGTAGTAAAAGTAGTAGTAGTAGAAGTAGTAGTAGTAGCAGTAGTGGTATATATATAGTAGTATAAGTAGTAGTAGTAGTATATACAGTAGTATAAGTAGTAGTATAGCAGTATATATAGTAGTATTAGTAGTAGTATAGCAGTATATATAGTAGTATTAGTAGTAGTATAGCAGTATATATACTAGTATAAGTATAAGTAGTAAAAGGGTATACACAGATGAAAACTAAGAAAGTGTAATCATTTTTCAAATGTATAAGGAACATGTTAAGTTAAAAGAATTGCTTAAATTGATTAAATTTATAGAAAACATATTTTAAGTTTATTTGTCAGCAGCATTCATTAAGAAATGAATAATATTTAGTCAACAGTTTAATTACAGAAAGTGTGAATAATTTATAAAAATAATAATTAAATTGCATTTGTTGTGATAACTTGAAAGGCTGCAACCAGCAGCCCGCATTGGGCCGCTTCTAATCGATCCACTTTAGAGTCTGAGTCAGTTGCAATTATGTGGTCAATGCTGGGTATAAAATGGCTAGCATTATGCTAGGCCAGCATCAGTCGCAGTCGCAAAGCCAAGTGCAAAATGAGAGTTTTATTGGTGATTGTATTCCTAGTGGGCATGGCTTGCTGCACGCTGGGCAGAGCGACTACACTCGAGGACCAGCTGAACACGGAGTGGGACTCCTATAAGAACGAGTTTGATAAGATCTATGGTGACGAGTCGGAGGAGTTGCTGCGCAAGTTGATCTTTCAGAATAATAAGCAGATCATCGATGCACACAACGAACGCTGGGCCGTAGGAGCTGAGAGCTACGAGATGGGCTTGAATCAGTTCAGCGACATGTTGCCAGAGGAGATTAGCAAAGCGATTGGAGCCAATGATGGCAAGGAGTTTATTGACGATGTGGAAGTGGAGTCGTACGACGAATGGAACGATGATGTAGACTTCGATCTTGAGCTGCCAAGGAACGTTAACTGGACTCAAATGGGTGCGGTTACGCCCGTCATGTTTCAGGGGCACTTCAACAACTCGTGGGCCTTCGCTGCAGCTGGTGTAACGGAGAGTCATCAGTTCATTAAGTCTGGACATTTGAATGTGCTGTCTAAGCAAAATCTAGTCGACTGCTGCCACGCGCATAGCCATCATCTAGCAGGAGCTCTGCTTTGCATTAAGAAGATGAAAGGCATTGACTTGGAAAGATCATATCCTTACCGCGGGCTGACTGGCAAGTGTCATTTCAAGAGAAAGTTTGTTGGTGCCAGCATCAACAAGATTTTCCAAGTCCGGCCCGGAAATGAGCATCGATTGGCCCATAGCGTGTCCAAGGGTCCGGTCGCCGCTGTCATTTCCCATGCGGCGATTGCCCACTACAAGAGCGGCGTCTTCCACAATCCCGACTGCGGAGAGAGCCCAGATTATGCTGTCCTCATCGTGGGCTATGGCCATTGCAATCATTTTGGCGATTACTGGATCGTAAAGACATCTCTGGGCCCCCAATGGGGCGACAAGGGCTACTTGAAGCTGGCGCGCAACAAGCACAATCTATGCGGCATTACCAACTGGGCTTACTATCCGCAAATGAAGTAGAAACTTATAAAACATTTATTTCTTAATCATTTGTATGTTTTGCTGCTGTTAAGCTGTTAATATGCTTAATAAATAAATAAAATTAAATATTATTTGTTGTCAGTTTTGTATTACAGAATCTTGAAACTAGCAGAGTCTGGCTTAAAGGATATTCGAGGCTAAATATAAATCAAAATATGATATGGTTCAAGGCAAAATAAGAAATAAATATTATGCAGCCTTCTTTTAAAACTTAACAAATATACTTATTTTTTACCCAGCTCTGTAGCAAATAACTCTCGCCCCAGTTTCACATTTGCTATGCCAAAAGTCAAATTATTACTTGGCAAATGTATTCGTATTTTATTGCCATGTGTAATTGGCTGCTTTGCCACGAATGTCGCAAATGCATGTGCAAATTGATATGCTTCTTTGCTTCAATGGAAGCAACATTTAATGCTATTAATGAAGTTCATTACACGACATTCCTGCCACCCGAACACTTCGCTCGCTGCGTGCAAACCACGAAATTTTATTGCATGCTTTTAGGCGCCGCCATTTTGCAAGCGTCGCAGCGGCAGCGGCAGCAGCAGCCGCAGCAATGCAATTTATTAATTTACAGGTGCAGAAATTGTTGGGTAAAAAGTTTCAGATGTTTATTTATATGTGTGTGCATGTGCGCTTACATAGGGTATATGTCTAGCAACTGCTTGAGAAACTATTTTTTGTCGAGGACGCAGGACATGGTTTTTGCTAAAAACTTTGCTAATTCCTTTAGCAAACTTTTTCTAAGGTGTTGAGTGTGTGTTACTGCTGCTTGAAACAACAATATCTACATTTGGGGAATGAAAAGCATTGAAAGTCTCATTTGATTTAATTTTTATTCAAAAATCACATTTTTGTTTATTTATTTATTTGTTTTTGTTTTTGTTTTGTTTTTTTTTCCTTTGCTTTTACGGCGCGAGCTGCTGTTCAATAATATAATATTAATTATCATCTTATATTTATATGTTATGCTTACTAGATTGAAGTTTTCGTTTATGTAATTTACATTTTGTTTATGTTTCTCCTCTGTTTGGTTTTTTTCGCTTTTTTTTTTTGCTCTAGTATGGGCTTCCACGCTGTTTCTCTGCTTCTCTGTCTTGCCTTAAGCTTTAACAACTTTTAACTATGCAACAAGCACATTCACTTTAAATATTATTTTTCTTTCTCTTAGCAGCTGAACATTTATTACAAGTACTTCAAGAGTCCGTATGTGTGTGGGTGTGTGTGTTTTTGTATGTACAAAAGTTGCATTAATTGCAAAATTAAATAAAATAAAAGTTGCATATTTTCAATTCAGATTCGACACCTCAAATTGCAGATGCGTTTACGTCAATATAAAATGACAAAAAAATTAATAAAATTGTAATTAAATCAATTTTTACAAGTGACACAAACATGTTGTGTGCACAAAACTTAATTGAAACAGTACAATGAATGGACAAGTGAATAGGTTCAACTGCTCCTAAAGTAGAGCTGCGTTTGTATTATTATATTATTATTTCTCTTTGCAATCATTTTGAATGCTTGCTCACAGCAGTAAATCGTTTGAATGGGATTGTATAGCTCAGGCTTTGATGCCTGCTCAAGTTATTGTCTGCTGTTAAGCCTATCTCTCTCTCTCCCTCTCTTTGTCTCTCACGCTGTCTCCATCTTACTCTCCCTCTAATTCCTCTCTAACTCTATCTTTAGAATCCAAACCAAGCAAGTGCAACTTTCAAAAGAAAAGGCCCCATCTCTTAAAGATACATATTGAAAGTCTAAATTATTAAATAAATATAAATAACAAAAATCAATTATTCATAAAATAATAATAATTTAATAATAATTTTAAACCTTAAATCAAAAATTTAAAATATTTATTGCAATACCCGCTTGCAATATTATTTTTGTATAAAATCGAATTATCCAATAATTATTAACTAAAAGAAATACATATATATTTCTAATATTCACCTTAAATGAATTGATAAAAATATTTATTTAATTATCAGCGTTAACTAAATAAATAAAAATAGTTATTTAAATATGCGCATGGAGTCTTTGTTTTTGGCATAAAGTAATTTCTGCTTCTCAATCCTTTTTAGCTAAACTAAAATATTTGTTTAATCATCTGACTTCGACTTACTTGCCAAGTGAACCTATTCACATGTGCATTAATGTACAAGTATTTATATTAAAAAAAATTGGTTTTATTTAATGCTTTTTCTTTTCATTAAACGCAGGCGCTGATTCAATTTAAATCTGAAAATGCAGAAAGCGACGAAAATAAAGGAGAGAAAAGTAAAAAATTGAAATGCTTTTTGCAGTCGCGTCGCGTGGCGTCGCTCTCATCTGTTAAATGTGGCAAAATAATTGATTATGCTCAATTATCTTTGAAATGCAAACGCAATAAATTGAAAAAGCGAAAAAGAACTGAAAATATCTACCCTTAACGAGGAGTGTTTTATAGACTATGCTTTCTTGTTGTTGTTTTTAGTAGTTTACTATGTCAATTGTATCACAACATTTAAATTTTGCATTTAATTTAGTTTTTCTTCATATTTTTTGTTAATGGTATGCAATATTGTTGATTAAGATTGTTTTCTTTTTTTTTGTATTTTTTGGTAGCTGCGTATATAATTATCTTTTATTAGTATTATTTATTAGCTTTTGTTTTTTTTTTTGTATTTAAATTTTTTGGCTTTTTGTGTTTTCGTGTGTTTGCTCTGGATGCTGTGTAAATGTTGGATTGTAGAGTTGGTTTGCTGTTGGTCAATTTGTTTGTTGTTCGTTTCGTTTTGTTTTAAACATTATTAGTTAAATATGTATAAAAAGTGACAGAGTCTGTTGCTTGTTTGTGTCAAATACAAATGCACAAAATACGAGTATAATACAAATAGTTTTACACACAGATACAAAAAGTAAACGCACTGTACAAAAGTGGAATAGAAATTTATGCTATTTTCTATGTATTCCTGTTCCAGTTATATATATATATATTCCTCTGTATGTGTGTGAGTGTGTGTGTGTGTGTGTGTGCTTGATGTCAGACGGGAATTTTTGATTATTATTTAGTCGTAAACGCAGAAAATATTTGAAATATTTGATTTATGTGCATGCTGATGTCTGATAGGGCGCATTCATTGCATTCGACTCCCAGTCAGACATTTCAAATTTACATACAAGTTTAGCATATTGCATACGTGTTCGTATTTCTATACATATATATATTTCTATATATATATATATATTGTATTGCAGATAAGCATTTCGAATGATAAATGCTAAACAATTGGCATGGCAGTCCAGAGTTGAGGCAACGTTCCAACCAGCTGCATAGCTCAGTAAGTGTTTTCGCTCCACAGTCACCATTCTGGCTGCGTCTTTGGCAGCAAACGTTGCCAGCCAACCCATTTGATATGTTCAGGCTAAACATTATTGCTACATTTTATTTATATTTCGCTTCTTTTTTTCTGGCTACATTTTGCGTATGTAGTTGCGCGTTTTCTACTCTTATTGCCCTATGCACTTGATTACCAAACGAAATCAAATTTATTAAATGGATAAAGAAATAAACCCAAAGTTACAAAATTAAACAGAATTTTTCTTGTATTTTTTTTTCAATATTTTTGTGTATATTTTTGTAAAAATATGTATATTTTATGTATGTAATATAATTTGTTGTATTTTCCACTTTTTTCATTTTATTTGTTTTTATTTTATTTTATTTTTGAACACATCTATTGTAAATTAAAATTAAATGTAAAAAAGTAAGAAATCGGTCATATGTATGCATTTGATATGCGAGCGTATAGCTTATAGAATTGCATATGCATTATTCATATATATATTTATGTTTATATATATATTCATAATCGATTGCTAGACTTTACATATGTATATTAAATGGCTGCCATAAAAGCTAAAGCTAAAGCCGAATTACACTCGTTTTTTTCTTTTGTTGTAAAAACAATTTGTTGAAATGTAAAATGGAAATTGCACATTTAATATGATAGTCTAGAAGTAGTCGGTTGTTAAGAAATAATTAGGAATACACAATTATACGCGAATGAAATGAAGACATTTACTATATATACTTAGTGCAATATCCTTGCAGCATATGCTTGGGACTTGAGAAGCATTTCTATTAGCTTGGAATTTATGGAGCAACAGGATTGCTTCCACCTGTATGTCTGCAAGGCTATTTAATATTCGGCACGCCGAAGACGCTTTACTCTTTCTCTTCCTGCTTTGTTTGTGCACATTGTACGATGGCTGTTGAGTTCGTAGCTCACTAGTAGCTGTTTGTTTCCGTATTGTTATTGCAAAATAATGGCCACAGTTTCCAATTTTCTCTTTCAATCATTATAGATAAGGAATATCTTTGCAAGCTTAAGCCTAACTATCTGCCATTAGTTAGTTAAACATAAGAATGGCTACAGACACACACATCAATAATAATAACACTAACTAACTATACACATATAGACTTATATATCATATCATATCATATCATATCATATATATATGTAGAGTTATAACAATTACAGTTCCTATACGGCAGACATACATACATATACAAAACATTTACACATACAAAAATCAAACGCGTACAAAATCAGCTACTTATGCACATATAAGGTATGTATATGTAATTATGTATATATATATCTATATATCGTATATATGTATATCGAAAAGTTGCAGCGCTAATTTGAAATTAGCAAAAAATGGCATTCCGCTCGCTCGCTGCGCCCACGGCAGGTAGCACAACTTAACTAGGCCTAATCAGAGTTCTTCTATTTATGTACATATACAAATCTGCTGTGTGTATGCGTGTGTGTGAGTGTATACAATATGCATTATAAATATATATAATTGCAACGTTGAATGCTATTTAGTTACATATACATAAATATACGCTTCATAAATCCTAACTAATTTTTGCTACTAATAATAATTAACATAGTTTTGCGGCGCTTCGCAGCGTCAATAAA